TTAGGAAGATATTTTTTATGGAGAGAGCAATCCGGGATTGTAATGGGCTGCCCAGGGAGGTGGTGGATTCACCACCCCTGGAGGTTTTCAGGATGAGACTGGATGTGGCACTTAGTGCTATGGTCTAGTAACCATGGCAGGGGTGAACTTGATGACCTTGGAGGTCTTTTCCAACCCAGCTGATTCTATGATTCCATGATTCTATGATTCTGTAAGTGTTGCGTAAGTGCAAAATACACCTGTATCAGGTTAGGAGATTCATGTGGCACTAGTGTACTTATTTCTATAGCTAAACAGAAGAATAGGGCACAAAACATGTTTTCAGTATTATGGATTGAGTGCTAAGTATAATTTGCATGTTTTTATTGCACTATTTCTTAAAATCACAGTTCACTGTCAAAAAAATAGATGGAGCTGCTCTCTATTATTCCTTCTACAAAATGACGACAGGTAGATTTATCCAAAAAAGGACACATTAAGGCAAACATTGATTAGAGTTCTTATCCATATTGCTCTAGGCTATTGATAATCTTGAAACCTTTTCATTCAGAATATGGATTACCAACAGTTTTTTTATCTTCTTGCTTGGTAAAAAAAAAAAAAAAATCAGCTGTATTTTTACAGAAAAACAAAAATCAGTAAGCTTCTGGGATGTTGGATTTATTTCCTTGGTCCACTTCCATAGACACTCCAGGAATGACCTAAATCGTTTAGTCTTCTATGAAGCCTGTTGGGATTCCAGTATAAGCTGGGCAAGGTGAGTCCAGAGCGACTTTTGAAGGTTCTTTATTTTTTGTCTTGAAAATATTAACTGGCCAATACATGTAAGAACTAGTCCCTAATAAATAATTTTGTCTTACTAGACAGCTCCTTATTTCTGTCACTTCTGCTTAAACCTGGTCACACAGGTATCTTCTGCAATCCTAAACACTGAAAGGTATCAGTAACTAGTAAATTCTGTATAACTGAAATTGAGAAAGAGCTGTTGGATGTTCAGAAACTAATATCAGATTTTTAGGACAGATACAATGCTTGTGTTTCCTTAGCTAAATGAGAACAAAGACAGCACTTTCTTCATATCCTGGATCATAAAATGTCAATGTAAAATAAAACTGTGAGGCTGAAGATTAATAAATTAGAGGGATTTCTGAAGAGCAAAAACCTCCCCCATCCTTGAATAGAGCCAACAGAGAAGCTATCCCTGATGCTCATCCATGACCTATTTTAACCCCTTTTGAGTAGCAGTGTTTTCTTGTAGAAAAGTTAGAAATTTAAAAAAAAAGAAAAAAGCCCTCCTGGTTCTTTTTGATAGTTTCTTTCACAGAATAATTTTTGCTGATCAACATCTGGTGTCAATTATCACAGAATACAGCAAAGTTCCCTGCCATGCATCATTCCTAAGCCATGTTTACCACTGGAGGACAGCTATGAGACAGAGTTGATTTTACATGTTTGAGGTAAGAAGTTGGTCTGATTTGTCTGTAGAATTTCCATTAGGAAATTTTACCTGTATTATTTTAGAAAGGTAGCAACTACAGCTAGCAACAACAGTTGGTCTGCTCCAGAGAAATACACAGTCTTGTACTACTGTTTAAAAGCATGTTACTGATTGAAAGCAAAATCTTAGTTTTAGAGAGTATTATCAAGGTGAGACAGCATCTTTATCCCTGTTTTTGAGGACGTGACACCGACATGTGCTGTTCAGGGTTATATAACAAATTCATTAAAATCCAGACAAAATAACTAGGCAACCTTCATTTATTAAATATTATTATTTAAATCTTATTTATTCTAGTGCCTTGTCACATAGTCATATTGTTTGTCAACACTCCTGCATTTTGCCTGAATTATGCACATACCCAAGAGATAGACTGCAAAAGGAAAACTCCAAATGTGGGATTGCCATAATACTTTTCCAAACATGCAATACAAAGTATTTATCAATTGACTTTTAAGATGCTCATTCAATAACTTCGATGGAACAACCACAAAGTAATTCTGGGCATCCTATTTGTCTCTCTAGCCTTGCTGTTGTTCGTCAAGAGAGTACATGCTACTTCTGGATGGCAAATCTGTTCTCTTTCTCATTTAGAAACACAGTCTGTTTAGAACATTTTTGTGTGCTTTATCTTTCCTTCCTGAAAGGTAAGTCACACTTACAGCACTGAACCTGTATGATAAGGCTGTAATGTACTATCTAGAAACAGAGACACAATATAAGCATTTGGCCTTTTACATGGACCATAGAGCATATTAAGTCAAGCTATCAGTTCTGGACCAACACATTTTGTGGATTTTATGAAACTGCAAAATAATTCAAAATTGTCTTTCTCTGAAAAACTCACATTTGGTACATTGATTGACATAATACTGTTAGTGAGACATATTGAAGAATACTTAAGAATATTTTTGTAAAAGCTACCTTTCACAACTGAAAATATATTCTGAGTTGTTCTCAGCTTCTCTGACAATGACTTTATCACAGTACCAATACTGGCACTTGGTATTAGCCTCACAGCGCAACAGCACCTTCTGCAGCTTCCCAAGAGATACAGCTTCCACTGCAAAAACACTGACCTGGAAGACAGAGGAGACAGCACAGCACTTTGCAATTTGCCACCACTAAGGCAATCTGAAAATTGAAGTGTTTTAAAAGCCTGATTAACTCTCACAATGTACAAAGATGCCTGTTGGTTCTAATGACAGTGGGACTGTATTCAAAGAGCTTGGATCCCCAAAGTTAAATGTCTTTTGATGATGTATCAGAGTAAATGAGAAAGCACAACTAAAATCAGGCTGCAGTACGAATCAAAAATAAATTAGCTTTTTTCAGCCATCATCCAAAAAGCTGCACATAACCCTTTAGTATTGTCTCAGTACCTTCCCATCTACATTACTCCTCTCTGGGTAAGAATTAGTTAAAGCTGTTATTTCCTTTGTTGATATTTATTTAAAACCGACTTTCTCATCTTTTTCTCTTTTTGGTCTCACCTTCTGTATTTACATTTTATTCTGCTGGAATAAACGGAAATCTGACATGCCACTTTCCCGTTGTTACCCATTTAGGTGTGTGCTTACTGTTGGAAAAGATTGTTTTCACAGGAGCATGAAGCTGATCAGGTTTGGGTTGATAATTTTCTGTCACAGTAAAAAGCATACAGCTTTCTCTCTCTAAATGTAATGGTCCAGATCACTCTGCTCAGTAAAATAGAAAAGGAAGGAAAGAAATACACTGGAAAATTCATATCTGTAAAGTTCTCAGTCCTTGGCAAATGTCAGAACTGAGACTGCCTGTGCAACATTACTTATCTCTTGTGTATAGGTAATATATGATCATAAGCCATTCTCTCTGAAAGATTCCTGCCTTAAAGTGTGCACAGGAGGACTGCAGATTTTCAGTATTTCTTTGTATCTTCATTATCTTTATGACTCTATGCATTATTTACTGCAACCACCCAAAGAGCTCAGTGAAACAGAACTGATTTCCCCAGTGACTTCACCTTTGCACTTCTTCCATAGCACCCCAGTTTTCTGCAAAGGCTAAATCTTTTTTGAAAGGCCATCTGCATAATATGCCAATTTACCTATATTGTTAAAGCACAGAGTTTATTGCCAAAAGCTGTCAAAGATGCAAAGTGGTTTGGGTGATGAGAAAAAGCGGGGCTAATTTGTTGGCATATTTAGCATTTCAAAGAACTTACTAGGTGCAGAGCAGAATTCTATTTGAACAAATCTCAGTTACAGCTATGGTTGCTCAGAAAAGTTAAACTAGTTACGCAATAGAAGGTAAGCATGCAAAAAAGTGGTCACTCAGGGCAACTTTATTTTAAGCGATTTGCCCAATATAATGTAGAGTATCTGTGGCAAGGATGAAATCAAGTTCTTCAAGTCACCGCTCAACTGCCTCTGCCATAAAATTATATATCCCAGTCCCTTCTCTGCTGCTCCAAACAATCCACTGTCTCATTCACCCATTTCCATAACAAAGTGCACTTTGAACCATTCCCCTTAGCCCCTGTATAAATAATATGCTGAATTTACTATCAATCTGGCTAGAATAATCCCCCCCAGAAAACTCCACTTAAATTCTGAATTTCAATTTGAATAGAACTTTATCTCTTATATATTAGTAATGGTATAAAATATATATTCTAAAATAATATAGATACATTTGAAGTTTCCCAGTGGGTTATGGCTATTCTTAGCATTTTTAGATACTGCCTTTTATTTTGTAATTAAGTGTTCCACTAACAGCTTGAGACCATTGGTTAATACATACAAATGTTAATTCTCAATAGGAAGAAACAGACTTCATAGAATGCCATAAGAAGGCTAGTGGCAGAGCTAACATTAAATTCAGTACTTCCTGAAATTCAGCCATACTGTAGAAAATCAGAATTATGTATATTTTACTTATGGAGGAGCTAGGAGGTAATTAATTGAAAGAAAAATTACTCTAAATCTCTCCTGTATTAATCACAATACTATATTATACATTAAAAGGCATACATAACTAACAGACCTACTGAGATCTGAAATCATGGAACAATTTTTCTACACTTATTTGGAGCCAGGGGTAACTCACCACACCTTGCAAAAAATAAGTTATAAATTCATAGGCAACTCCTCTCATCATCCTCTGGGGGGTGTCCTCAAATATTTTTTTGCCCCATTTTCCTGCCTTTGTTTTCATTCATTCCTAGATCAGCAGAAGACTCTTTTCCTTAGTTCTTTTTGTTATTTTGCTAAACTTCTGTGATTATATTTTTATTATAATTGAGTCTTGCTTAAGTTACTTAATTGTATTTATATGGCTGAGCAAAAAGGTTTACAGACTTACCATTCCTCTCTGAAATGTGGCTGCTATACCAGCTTTATGCAGAAGTCTTAGACCAGAATCTCCTCTTTTTCCATAGATGCACAAATAAACTGCAGAATCTGTACCAGCTTGCTCCAAGTCACCAGTGTAGACAGAAACATGGTATAAAACAACTTCCAAAAATAACCAAAAGAAGAAAATACAAGTTATATGTAATCACAATTAATTTTTCTCACTATAATAGCTTACTGGAAAAAATACCAGCAAGTCCGATTTGATATTGCCCAGAAATGCCAGCCAAACTATCTGTTTTTAAGACTGCTAAGACCATAATTCATACGATATTAATACTGAAACCCAGGTAACTGAAATATATGTAACTGCATACACATACGTGGATAGACAGGTTTTCCTGCTTCCAATACTGGAAGTTCACAGATAAATGCTCTGTCATCATGATTCTTTGGCAACCATGTGTTTACTGGAAAATTCAAGGTTTTCTTGCTCTTTAGATGTTGCAGTGTCACCTGGAGAAGAAGCAAATCCAGCTATAACTCAGTTATTTTTTGCAGTGCTTTGCTTTTGCTTCTTTCGTATATCTTTTATCTCAGAAAACAATAAAGTAATCGTAAATATGACATACAAAATTGCAACATAAAAATATTTTTATTTTGACCACTACTTTGCAACAAACAAATCTGTACTTGAAATTTGTGGGTTTGCCATTAGAAATGATACCAAGTCTGATTTCTCTCAGTGAGTTGCCTCTATGTAACTCTGCCTGGAGTACTGAAGACTGAAAATCTTCTGGTAGGTGATGTTAGGTCAGACTGAGCTTTTGGAAGATGTGGAAAGATTGACACATTGCTTATTTTAAAATGAAAACAGGATGAAACTCACCATCTACATCCTTCTGAACTTTGGCAAGGAGAGGATATGTTGGAATTTTAAATCAATCTGTTCTACATTTGGCTCTTTACAGCTGAACAAAGGACAACCCATACACCAGCACCCTCTATATATTACTCTGAAGATGGTTAGAATTCAAATTCTCAAGTTATTTTCTACTGTTCATTATGATAGGTATCTTACTTCTGTTCTATAACCAAAGCAATATTTACTCTCTTTTATGAAATCAGTTATTGCTGTGTTTGAATTGCTACAATGGTTACTGCAGTTTTTGTCCATAGGTCTTGTCTAGCTAAAGAAAATCAGTGCCAAGACATTATCTTTCTGTAGTTGTGTTTTGAATGTGCATATAATATGCATAAGCCTTGCAAACAAAATTATGAAAACAAGCATACACATCCAAATTTTAACACTTAGGAAATCAGGGCAATAGTTACATTTATCTCACTTTTCCAATAAAATATTATTTTAAGTAAAATGATCATGGGTTTTAATACCACAGCATATATTTATTCTAAGATGAAATACTTTGGCAGCACTGATTCTTAATCTCTAATATTTATTGGCAGAGCTCCCCCTGCTGATTCATAACAATTGCAGATATTAACTGCTTTGTTAGAAAGAACACAGCTTTCAACACGATTTCTTTCTTTCTGTGAAAAGAAATATCTGAAATCTCAGGGTTACACTGTGAAAAAAATGTTAAAGAAATATTTTGTAACCACCAGGCCAGAAAGTAGGATTCCTGCAACCATTTGAGCAACTGAAAAATTTATACTTACATTTAATTTTACTACAGTTACAGTTAAAGTCTTTGCTTTAACATAAAAATCCGTTATTACTCTCTAATTCTGGTTGTTTAAATCAGGCTTTCTAAGAGTACTCAAATGACCAAAGGTAAACTTGTGTCCTTTACAGATTCAAATTAAGAAATAGAAGACAGGTTCTTATCTCAGTTCTGAAATACATTTTACATGGGTGTCAATATTAGCAAGAATTTAGCATAAATTTAATCTGCTGAACATCCCTAAATATCATAAGTAAAATAGAGTTAAAACAAAACAGAGAAGAATTCATTCACCAAGTTGGAAAAAACCAGCAGTTTCTTTTTCCCTGAAAATTGTCATAATTGTGAGCTATGGTGGGGGCCATTAGGACTTACTTAGCCTACTTAAGCAAACTTTGTTCATTCCTTGCATGTAGTTGTCATGGAATAATTACTGCCCCTTCATTTCCAATTTTTCATAGCCAAACTTTATAGCTAGAATATCCCTAAAATGCACTGAAGAGTACAAGCAACTTTCAGAATGCAAAACCCATCAATGCGATAACATTGGTGTCTGCATGAATTAGGAATACTGGCAAAATAATTCTACATATTTTCCATCCCTTAGGAGATGGACTGTTTCAGTGGTTTTGTGATCTCTAAAGCAGTCTGAGATTACAAAGCAATTAGAATATATCACAATCAGCATATATTGATTCATGAAGCTATGGCTTTTTGATAAGATGGGCTTTTAGTTCACATAAAAATTAATAAAATGGGAAAAATCACCATAAAAAATCTCACCCTTTGTAAATTCCACTCTGATTGCTCATTTGGTAATCCATCAAGTTCAATTCTTATCTTGTAGATATTCCCAATGCTTTTTATTTTAACCTGAATAAAGTCAGAAGGTTACAACATATAACTACATAAAATTACATCTTTGCACTTGGTTCTAGTTTTCTCTGAACCATTGTAGTATCTAAGTGCACAAGAACAGCATATAATATTTGTCTGGCAGATTTTGAGATACAAGATCCAGAAAAGATCCTGCTTCTGTTTTGTCTAGGCAGATTTCTCTCTGAGCCCATTTGGCCAGATTACAGCTTGGTGGAAGCACAATGCTTGCCAGGAAAATGATTTGGCAGATATTTGAACTCTTCCAAGTTTAAAGAGTAAAAGAAGTTGGTGAGGGTTGCTCATGAGAGCAATGAGGAAAACAAAATTATATCCTCCAAGATACAGGTCACAAATCTTTCATAATGCAGCACAATAACATGACCATAAAACCCCAGTATGTCAAAATGAAGGATATAAAATTTTTGGAGACCTTTAAGAATAAGCTCCCAAAAGCTGGCAGAACATCTGCAAAACTGCAGAAGTCACTGATACTATCTTTGGTTTCTGACTATGATTTGCATTCATTTGCACCTTCTTTGTACTTTCAAGCATTATACATGCTCTTCCTTATGAAAACTACTCTATGCAACCTAATCAATCTTCAAAATGTCAAATGAACCCTCAGCTATCTGGGGTTCCTCTGAAGTATAGCCATTATTTAAATCAAGCATAAATCGTTTTAGATCATTTTCAATGTACCTACAGGAAAAGAAAAGTAAGTGTGTTATCATGCTATTTCTCAAATAATAATTCTATTCATAAAGAGTTGGTAACATCCTATTCCTCTCCATCATTTGTATCCAAAAAGCTGTTTACATTGTACAAAAATTATTTTCATCCTATCAGAAACACCCACCAGTATATTATCCATTTATTCTTTACCTTCATTAATAAAAAGCACCCTTCTCATTTCAGAGGTCAGAATTATCTCATGTCCTAAACCAGTTTTTGGCAGACTCTGTGCTTTTTTTATAATAAACTTTTATTTTATAGTCACAACACTGCCATGCTTTAGGTAAAGGTTTCTGGAAACAAACAACTTTACCCTTGATCTCCTGATCATTGAAATGCACATTGAAATCTTTCAATGGCTATTTGAGAAAGAATCTGTGGATTTCACACCTGTTATTTGTATTGGTATAGTTGCTACATCATCCTGAATTTCATAAACAAAATAAATGCTAGCTCCAGGCTTGCAACACTGATGTGACAATACAGCTCACATCTTTTCCATCAGCTTAAGAAAATAGCTTTGTTTTGCTCTGTCAAGTCAGATTCTGATGTCCTTGCTTATGCTGCATAGTATTTCTCTCTAAAAGTAGTCTTATTAGAGGTAGCCTGGAGACTCTGGGATTAAAGCAGTAGTAAAAAAAGGGCTTATATTCAGCTTGGCTGAAAAAACAGCTATTGTCTTTTCCCCCACTGCACAAATAAACTAAGCCACTTCTCAAGTAATATGGGAGGTGGTCTTCTCATTCACAGAGCAGGTGTTCACTGAATATGGAACTATTATGTTGTCATGTTGTCTGTTTATGCTCACGAATCTCTCTTTAGCCTTCTGTTTAAAAAAAAAAAAAAAACCGAAAAATTGCATGGTAATTCCATGTATCAACACAAAACAAAATGCAGTGGACTTTGTCAGAATGCAGAGTGAATTCTGCCTAAAACATGTAGTGGTTGTCCAGAAGAAACACTCTGCCACAGTCTTGGGAAGGATTAAACAGGCAATGACTATTCACATGGGTAAGGTAAGAACAGGAAGACCATATATGAATGGCTTTCATTTCTCAAGATAGATGTACTCAAATTGTTCATAGTTGAGCATATTGCTGATACAGTGAAAGGTTAAAGAACTTCAAACTGATTCCAGATTGCCTGATTATTACATTCTTTCAGAAGTTGCTCTCTTCCTAGAAATCCGGGACAGAGCTATGATTAAGTTGATTACTTTAAAAAATAAAATTTGGTGTCCTCTGCCCTAGAATATATCAGTGAAACCGTATCAAGTTCAAAGGTGGAAATGGTAAGAAAAAGATGTAATTTTTTTTAAGTCTTACATTCCTGTTCTCATTTCAAGACCTATCCTGTTAAACAAGTAGAGGATAAAGTTTAAAGGGAAAAAATGAAATAGGAGCTCTTACTCATAGACGTTTTCTTTGTGGATTTATCTACTGCAGACTAAGAGTGAAAAGCACTTCAGTGACATTTGCTGTTTCATGCCTGAAAGCAATAGTGTCAGTGCAATGCAAAGAATCACAGTAGTAGCCCCAGGTGCTGAGAGAAAGATTCTGCTAGCTCACAAGATCAATATATGCAGCACATAGCCATAATGGTCCATATCCATTTTAGAGAAGGGAAATTGGCTCATGTCTTCAGAATGTGTAGATTAACTTTGCAAACATACCATTACCCAATGTTGCTTATAAATTATTCACTAATTAGGAGAACAGGATTCCCTGTGGATCATAAGCCTATATGCTTAGAAAATGAACATTATGGTAGGTTAACTTCCTGCATATGCCCAATTCATAGAGTATTATTATTAATATTATTGACAGCAACCATCTTTGATTGTGCCAAGATTATACTAGAAGAGTTGATGAGTGCAGAAAAAAATTGAAAAATTTAACTTTTGCTGTATTTTACTGAAGGCAGCAATGTTACATGCATTTCAGACAGAAAGATTTAAGCAAAACAGAAATTTTAGCTCTTTTGGTAATTTTCTCACAGCCTACCTAGATATTGCTTCCTTATTACAACAGAGGTAGGGTTATTCTTAAATAATAGCAGAAGCTTGTGTTTCATAACATGATAATGTGTAATTTTAATTGGGCTCTTGTTATTCAATAGGCAAACCTTCTGGCATTTCAGTCATTTGTGATATGGCAGCTCTGAAAGAGGTTTTCTTCCTTAACTGAACCACTTCCATAGCATACATTTTATAGTATGCTTTGAAAACTGTATGCCTGGAGATTTAATTACTAAAGATCCCTAAATGATATGCAAGTCTTACAACAGACATGGTTTGTTTAGAAGTGGATAGTGTTTAAAGCTAGTTTCAAATCAATTGCCTTAAAGAAATCAATTTGCTCCTGCATTTTTCCCATTTGGTCTACTATATGAGGGCAGGAGCTTAAAAGAAATATTATTTCCTCTGTTCCTTACTATATATAACAAGCTGATTTAACACAGGACTCATAGAGATTAGATTTTATGCAGTAGATATAGGAGAAAAACATTTTTTCTTTTCACATGACAGAATAATCCTTGGAAAGATACACATTAAAATAATGTTCTTAGCCTTCATTAGCTACCTGAAATTTATCTTCCTGCCTGGGAAGAAACAGCTGCTTCCTGTTGTCCTTGCCAAGAGTTATCGGTCCAGCTACTCCTCTGTCTCCATATATCCAGAGAGCAACATTTGCTTCAGTTCCTCTATTTCCTGTCAGTATTGACACTTTCCATTCATCATGTGAAGGAAGGGGACACTCACCACCTTGGAGATTTCTCATTTCCTCTATGAAATAAAGAACATTAGTGGGAGACGAAAACTGACACGAAACTGCCAGTCTGTGTTGTAACTTTTGCACATAAGAAGGCCATAATGGAGGGGGAATTGTATTTTTTATGGCAAGAGAGAGTCTGAAAAGATTGATTTATGTTTTTTGTCTACACTAAAATGCACTGATTAGTTGAGCTACAAGAATCTGCTGGAAAAGAACAAGTTATCTGTCACATGCACTATCATCACATTCTTCTTCATACATATTCTAGTGTAGAGTAAGAATGCTATGATGCAGAACTATGACCATTACACTGACATTTCTGGTTTCTTAGCCTGACATTTATAAATTAGTAGAATTATTCCTCTAACGCCTTGTGTTGGGACATTACTAGCAGAGTCCCACATCTGGGAATGGAGACAATTTTCATTTCAATCAAAAAAAAATCAGTAAATTTGCATTCTTCAAGTTAAATCTTAACTAAACACTATTAAAAAAAAAATCAAAAAAACCAATCTTAACTAAACACTATTAAAAAAAATCAAAAAAAAGCTCAATATATCCTTGTTCAACCATACTTATGCATACAGTGCCAGCATTTGGGTAAAGTAGGCTCTGCATGAGTGAGACAATAGCAGCACAGTACTACTTTATGAATAAATTTCACGGCTTTAATGGCTGAGCAAACACAGATTTGGAAAACATAGGCTTCACTTTAGAATAGCAGTGGTCTTCCATCTACCCTCAAGAGAAATATATATATATATATGCAGAGATGTCAAACGACACCTCTGCATATGATATAGTAAAACAGACTCTATTAGGACAAAGGAATTTAGTTTTGAGTATTCAAATAAAAGTGGAGTTTGCAAACACCAAATGTCTGGAACACTACTTTTCAATAATGGGACCACTGACCATGGAGTCCTCTCCAAAAGAGGGAGTCCTTCCTGCCAAGAATTTATAGCCCATTCTGACATGAGGCAGTTATAAACTCTAAATTTGACAAGATGAACCTACACATTGTCTATATACTCTGTCCTCCAGGGGTTCCCAAACTGTTCATCCTGAAGCCTTTTCAAGCAACTGAAAAGAGACTTTTCCATATGCCACCAATATGAATTTGTTGAAGAATTCCCAGTGCATCACTATGGATGTTTCTGCTGCACTACATAAGCTGTTTAGTGCTATCAGAGTTTTTCACTTTTTTATTTGCTTGATTCAAATGCTGTACTGGGTTTCTCTGCGGTGGAGTTTTCCCCTTCACTTATTAAACTGCCTTTTCATCAAAGGGAAAAAAACACAAACAAACAAAGCCACAACCTAAAACCCCAAACAAAATAAAACTAAAACCACCAAACCAAACAGTAAAACAAGTGATGCAGAAGCTATTTCTTACCACCAGCAGAACGGTGCCCAGCTAGCCCCAGAGGAATGACCGCTTTGGAAAAACTCTGATTCACTTTTATTTCTGAGCATGACAATATATGGTATGGAATATTTCTTTGGTCAGCAGTGCAGACTGAGCAGACATAGATTCTGCTGTGCAAGTGATGCTCAGCAACAGCTAAAACATTGGTGTGTTACAACACTCTTTTGGTGACCTGGCTGAAGCACAGCACCAGACAGCCTGCTAGGAAGAAAATAAGGCCCATACCAGCCACATCCAATATGAGCACTAAAAAAAAAAATAAAGCAATACATATGACAGAAATTCACAAAATTTATCTGACTGTGCTTTGTTGCTTGCATGAAAATATAAATTTGAAGCCAAAGTGAAAAGCAATTTTGAATCCTTAAGACTTGCTTCTTAATGAACTTTAATGAGCAACAAATCCCACATCCTGATAAATGATTGCTGAAGCAAATTGGGTAAGTGAAGAGGCATCGTTTCATTTCTGAGACACAGACTTGGTCTTCCCTTTAAATTTCCTTAAATGCACGGTTAGAATATTAAATAAATGAGGTTTTTTTCTTAAAAGTTGTGCTCAAAAGGAATTCTACAGTTTCTTGGACCATCAGGTTGTCCTATAATTAAATCAGCATGGAAACTAAAGCTCCAAACCTTAATTATGACCCACTAGCATTGATATCTTAACTGATGTGAAATATTTACACAAGGAATTGCAAAGAAATTAGGATGCAGCACAATGCTCTGCAATAAATAAGAACTGACGTTTTAAATCAGAAGAAATTTAGCCCTGGTAAAGAGTCTAAAATTTGGTTAATCAACTTCTAAGACATTCAGAACTGTAGGATTATGACTTTTACAGCAGTGCCTTTAACAGTAGTACTATGACTTTGGAGATGATTTAGTGATTTAGAAATAGGCAGTAGTGTCATAATAATTGCTGGTTTTACTGCATTCTTCATCATGGCAAACTTATTCAGAAAGAAAAAAATTCAATCCACACATCAAAAATAAAGAAAAACATCTTCTGTTTACCCAAATAAAAACCTAAGTACACTTGTCTTTCAGTGACTGAAATAACAGAACTATAGTAAATTGGTTCAGTATATTAAATATTTTTGAGAACTTCACTATACAGCTTTCCATAACTGTGGTTACCTAAGCCCTCACCTGTAGCTCTGAAAGCTAAAGTTCCTTCCAGCTATCTAAAACCACATCTTTCTTACAGCAAAGAGATGAAAATGTTCATGAAATGTGCAGGTATTCAGGAAACAGAAGGAATCCCTGGCTGCTCAGTGTGCTTAGCACAAGAATTCCATAGTTGAGCAAATTGCTACGCAAAGCAGTTACTGCAACCTCCAACTATTACCTTTTGGAACAATTATAATGCACAAACAATTCACAGGCTTGGAATGCTTTTTGCCTCATAATTTACTGGTTCTTTTTACAAATGGAAATCGGTAACATTGATTTGCTACAGGCTAAAAATATTCCAGTCTGAAAAGAGGATTTGATGGTTACCCTGCATTAGTCATGGGAGTTTACACATTTCATGACACCATGCTGTAAATCTATTGCCACCGAAATTCATTCTGATAGGCCTGCATGAGAATGAAGTCACAACTCTTCACACAGTTCAATAAAATAATCTTGTTTTTAAATTTACTTATTCTAAATCTGAAACAAAAATAAAATGGTCTTGCCTCAGAAGACCCTATGATTGAGTGGCACTTTTAAAATGAACCATCAGAAAAATTAGTCTCAAGAGCAGAAGTTTGGATAATAAAGCTGATATATTTTTACTACACCTCTGTGTATCATCATTCCCAATGTTAACCAAGTGGAAGTGAGATAAGATCTTAGTTGTATCTGATTTTGTCTTGCAAACAAAATATATTAAAAAATTAATAGCAGCTAATAATATACCAGTCATACAGGAAAGGAATGTGGAGGACAGAGAGAGCATTTCTCAGAGACACAATTTGTTAACACCAAACCACGGAGATGTTCCCAAGGTCACAGACTGTATTAGTGTCATGGAAGCTAATGACATCTGAGGTGTTAAGTAGAAGCTGGGACATGACATCATTGCTGTAGAGTGAAGGAAGTTCCTTGGGAACAGTGAGCACACGCTGCAATAGAAGCCCCAGCTGCTGTAACATGGGTTTTGGCTTAGTTAATCCTAAATCTAGCACTATTTGTGAAAACAGAAGCCAAAACATAGTTAGCAGACACAAACATAAAAACGATGGCCTGGTCAGTCTAAAAGTTAATCTGCTCTGAATTTGGCTGTTAAGCCTATTGCTGGATTGTACACTCAGTACAAATATCACCTTTTTTCAAATGTTAGCTGGGAGTGAAAAAAAGCAAATGAGTATTTAATAAATATCAGTTTAAAAATCAAGGCTCACCTGTGCATGTCAAGAGATAGTTGCCTTTGTATTTTAAGTAAAAATATCTTACTAAAAAATAGCATTTTCTTTGAAGGGCAGAGTAACTTTGATATTTCTATTCATTTTTGCATAAGCAGAGTCTACATTTATGAATGCCAGAAACACTTCTTACAAAGTGCTATAAACTCTATGTAACCAATTTCATGGCAGATATTGCTTCTATAAAAGGTCCCTTTGTATCCAAACCTAAAAACATCCAGCCTCTTTGAAAATAAGTTTGATGGCTTGTGTATTGTTGCCATAGGTTTCAAACACAGCATATCTCACCAGCTGATGATAATCCACAACACTTTGGGAAGGCTTTGTGGCACAATGATGCAACATGAAGTCTGAGAGATTAGAAGTGGAAAGAGGGTGTTTTGAGCTAAAAATGGAAGCAACATTGCCAGAAATAATTAATAGCAATTAATAATAATTCACACCTATGTTTGGAATTTAACCAGGATACTTTGGTTCAACTGAATTAATAAAAAATCCTGCCTGATACTTCACATTATACCCTATGAAGAAATATGCCATATTTGGTGTCTTGTTCACATAGCCAGATTTTTCATGTACACTCTGAAGCAGCAGTCTGAGGACCACACTCAAAACCAAATCAGCAACCCACTTGAATTATTTGCAACATGAAGGCCTTTGAGACAGCCTCTTGCTGAACAAGCAGATCTCCCATAGTGCAAGCTCCAATATATACTTGTCTTTAGTGCTCATTCAAGGAAACAGACATTTTTCCACTATAGAATGTGTCTCAATATACTCTGTGGGGCTCAGTAGTTTCCATTTACCCCATCTGCTTCTCATGGTGATATGGCACAATTCAGACTATGCAGACAGGGTCTTCAGGTACATTGAAATAATAGAGAGACAGGAAACAAATATGACCTTTTCCACTCTTAAAGAGGTGTATAATTCCCTGTTTTGCTCAGTTGTCTAGTTCCTTAGTCACATCTTGTTTGGTTAATAGGATGCTGAACATTCCTGAAAACATTTTCTTAGACCATTTATGAAACTTCTGTAGCTAAAGAAGAAAGCAGTTTATTCTAGAAAAATACATCTGGTAGACCATCACTCTAGAAGCATGACCAGAGCATTGTTTATCTATTCCTACCGGCCAAAACATAGGTATAAAACTAGCATGCAATGCACCAAAACATTCCTCTAGTTACTTAAAGAAAGAAAAGTAATGTGAAGGTGTTCAACAGTTACCTGCTGATTGCTGTCTTATCAATAAACCACAATTCAATGCCGTTTTAAAAAAAAAAAAACAATAACTAGTAATGTGTTTTCTGTTGCATGTATGTGTGCATAATTCAACAATCTAGAAAAGCCATTCATTGTCCTTCCTGAGATAAGTCTCTGCAAACATACACAGAGTGCAGGCTCAACACCATGCCGTATCACAACTAGTAAACTGTTGCTTACTTGAGGGTGGGGGAGTTGAAGGGCTTTGAGATATCAACTTCTGGGTTTTTGCTGGTTGGAGCCGAGATTCTCTGAAGTCTTTCTTCTCTTGGTTGGGTGCTGCAGATGTTCCCATAGGCTCTTCCCGGCCAACTTAAATAATGAAATGTAAACTCTGTCAAAAACTACAAGCCTTTTTTTGTTTGTTTGTTCAGAAGCTAATAACAGATCTCACAATTGCTCAACACAATAGATTTCAAAATCTTTTCTCTATGTGTTGCCCAGCCACTAGCAATAGGATTTTATTGCTAGCAGAATGCCACAAAAAGTGGAAAAAATTTTGATCTTGCATACCAATAAAAGTCTGTTTCATGCTTTGAAAATCTAAGTAGCGATGTAACACTGATGTATGAATAAAATGTCTTGTTAAAATGTAGTTTTCCCCAAAATAAGCTTCTCTACTCCCAAAATGTTTCCTGTCTTAAGAGTAGGAATGCTGAAATGAAAATTGCTAGAGGCCATTTCTGATGATGTGAAGCAAACAGACAATATTTATTTCTCTCATAGAAAATATTAGCTCCTTTTTATCTTCCTTTTACTGAGCAACAAGGATTTAGGAGAGCTGAAGCCTGTAACAAAGCAACATTTAGCTTTATTTTAATGACATCAGTAAGCATTGCTTTGAGAGAATTTCTATTGAAAACATTGTTCTTCTGAAATGTAACAAAGGAAAATAATTTCCTCATTTCTACAAGGACACAGTGATCAAAATATTCTTGTTGCCTTGCAGCAAATAGGGACTGGATGGTAGGGATGCCATTACAGTGACTTTTATAATGCTTCTGTCTGTCTCAATCACAATATACATAGAACAATTAGTAAAACTTGTTGTATGCTTTGACATTTTCTATTTGCTAGTGAAAGCATTCAAGACAGGCTTGTTTTGCTTGTGTCTGGAAAAAATCTGACCAACTTCTCAATTTCAAACTGACGCCAGTTTAGCCTTTTCATGAGATGCTTCATTTTTTGATCTCCATAGTTATGTTCGCCAGATATGAATATGTTTCCTGTAAATAGTGTTTCTTGCTTTTATAATTCAAGTCAGCTGGCTGTCTTTGGTAAGCAATTATTAACCAAATTTAAAACTTCATTCTCTGAAGGAGAAAAGGCAAGCAGGTGACCCAGAGTATGCTGAGACCTAATTTCTGCATCCTAGCTAATTGATTAGAACAGGTCAGCTCCTTAGCAAGAAATCTTTTTGACCATAATAGCTCTCAAATCTGACTATAGAACAGAAGAATGACGTAATGAATATACTATCAGGGGAAGTATAATGTATTTCACATCATTAAAAAAGAAATGTAACACTGCCCTATTGAAAGTCTGCTAATTCCCCTATAAAATCAGGAAAGACCATGGTATAGCTGGCATCAAAACAATATCTCTCAGGCTTTCACAATCTGTGGCCAGAATGGCCAGAAATAGACCCAGGAACTCAACTCCATCTCTCGTCACTTGCTTTGACTCTCATTTTCAAAAGTTTGTTAGTAAAACAACAGATATCTTCTGTATCATTCATTACTATAAAAAGAAAGGAATGAAGCAAAGTTAACGAAATACATAGGAGAAATTATGTGTTTACAACAAACTTTTCACTTTTAAAACTATTGAAACACCACAAGGGAAATTGTGTCAATTTGGCTTTTATGCTGTTGCGTTTAACTTTGTCAGTTAGAAACACTAGTCACTAAATCAGACTGTAGACTATTGAGAAATCACATACATTTGATGACCTGTGGGTAGAAGAAAATATTTCTTTCTCCAGTGTTACTGACTGGTTTAGTTTGGCCGTCTGGCAGGAGACCAACATATATCCCTTTATTTCGCACTGATTCTAGGCTTACAGATCCAGTTTCCAAATTCTTCTCGATTTTAAAGTGACAGTATTCATCACCTGTGCCCTAAGAAAATAAAAACAGAAACATGAATTCAACAATCAAATTCATGTAGCTAGACACACTGGATGTTTCTAAAGTCTTAAATATTACTACCTTCCCATAATATTTTAGATTAACTTTGCATTCTTCACGAAATGCTAAATGATTAAGTACACACATACATACACCTACCCACACCTTAGCCCTCTTTATTCCTTTGTGACCAGAAAGACTGGTAATATAATTTAGGTAAATGGAAGTCCAAGTGAAAGCATTCTGATTTATGTTAGGATTTAGGAAAAGTCTAAGATGTTCAAAGGAGTTTCCCCACTTAAACAGCTTTCAGAGGATTAAGGAATGTGAACATATTTACTTAAAAAAACATGGGCATATACAAATTGATACACAAATGTTATACATAGCATAGATTTGCTAATGTTACATAATTCATCTATTTAATAAATTTTTTCCTCAATTTCATAGTGCTTAAAATTTTGATTTCAAAACCTTTACCCAACACCCCTTTTCCTCCAGACCTCCTGATCCATTGGTGAGAGTATTGCTGAAAAAGTAAGAAACTCATAAAGCCTATATTCAAAATATGGATTAAATATTTTAATCAATGAACAAAATATACTGGAGTCAGTGACAAAACTCTCATGGACCTCACATTTGAGTATTTACACATCTCTATTTCATACTCACTTGTCTTAAACTCCCAAATAAAAATTATGTGAGAATACTTCTCACATAAATGTGAGAAGTTTAAAAATAGATGCACAGAATCACATTTCAAAAGTCAGTGCAATATGCCATTGCTAGCTTCTTAATTAATCTTTAGTGGGTTTTATCTTCAATTTATTTTATTCAATACCACTTTAAAACCCTGAACATGCTTATGTTCTGCACCATTCAAAACAATTTTATCAGCTTATATATGCAACCAGACAGGGTCAGTAAACATAGTATAATTAATGAGCAATTACTAATGTCTCATTCTCCTTTTACTCTCAATAGTTAAACTCCAAGCAAGTAGAGAATATTATGGGTCCCAAAATCAGAATATTTCAACCATTCCCCAAGCTCATATTTATTATTAAATATACAGGCTACTGGTGAGGTGATTCAAGAATAATTGCTATGTGGTTGTGTGATGAAGAAAACAAAAATCAGGTTCTTCATTTCATACAGGCACTCATTTACAAAACCTAGGATGCCAACATCACTTCAGCATCTTCCAAACTCCCAGTAGAATAACTATGGTTGTTTAATAAAAATAAATTAGCACAACATCAACTCTCTAGCAGTACATAAGTTTTCACTACATCCACATTCTCAGTTGTTTAAAAATATAATCAGATCTTCAAACTCAAGTGGCAAAAAGACACAACAGCTTCTCTTGCTATATTTTCCTATCTGTTCTGGGACAAATAAAGGAAAATATGTGAAACATTTAAAATCTGAACAATGTTTTATCCCTTTTTTATCCAAGCAAGTAAATAAAGATTCTTTGATATCACTGACAATTTAGTCAAACAATCTGCAGAAGGAAATACAAACAAGAACTGCTTACTGTCCCATCACATTGGTCATCTTTGATCTTCAGATACATTCTTGGTTTGCTCACGCTTTCAAACCTGCAGAGTCCAGAGCTGATTTTCCTTCCAGTATTTTTTTGCTGTTGACCTGCTCCACTGCAGGTCCCATCAGGTCTAAGGGACAAAGCCTGGCAGAGACTTGTGTTTAGCAGAATGATGGCACCATGATGAAACACACCCTTCAGATCAGAGACACAAAGCCTTTTGTGAATAGCACAGCTTTTCTCTGTATTAAACTTTGATACTCATATTGCTTCTACCATTTTATTTTAAGCAGTTATTCATGCATGTGCTTGTATAAAGCGTAAGAGAGTAAGTCACAAGGAATTCAAGTATATCTCCTTTCTTTGAATATTTGCCACTTTCTGCACAGACACTAACCAGAATAGTGGAAATCCATTCTTACTCCACAGCTTCACTGCTTTTTCTTGCTCACCAGCACAGCACAACATCCAGAGCACAAGTGTGGCAAATTAAGGAACTTATCTCTTTTCAACTTGAGTAATTTCCCATGCAGCTCTCCTGTATGTACGTACCTTCCTACTTTTCAAAAGTCTTCTAGAAATTTTGGGGACCCGTATTTCCTGGGTTACAGCCAACCCTATTTGCATGTGCCTGCTGCAGCACCTGCATTGCTCATCCCAGGACAGCAGTAAAAGAAACGTTGTCAAGTGCTACCCACCTATTAAGCTGTAGTTGAGCTCCACCTCGTGGAAGAGGATCACTCTGTTAGCTTACAAACCTCTGACACTTGGTTAGCTAAAATCTGTCTCATAACAGTAAATTTTAGAAGAGTCTTCTTAATTTCCCTCTGCCCACCTTACCTTGACATGCACAACAAATTCTTTGGAAAGCCCAGCATATCCTGTTGTTTCATCAGCTACTTTGCCTTGGAGATTGAAAGTCACAGTGTGACCTGGGTAGCTTGCTGACTCAAGAATGGCACAACCATTTGGTTGAAGATGAACATGGAGCTCACAGCATGCCTTGTCTTTGCTCTAGCATAGTCAAAGTAGGAATAATAAACAATAAATAAAAACTATATGGCAAAATCCAAATCAGAGAGTATACAATGTAGTTTCTGTATTGTTCAAGTTCCCACAATACTACCAGTCTATTACAAAAATCTTTATATTTTTTGCATTTGCAGTCCTAATACTTAAGATCTAAAATTGTGGATTCTGGAATTTCAAAGCACAGAAACAGATCATAAGATGGCACAGATCTGACAATAGCATGAAAGTTACCTGGGTGCCTCAATTGGAAAGAGTTAGGGTCACATCCTACAAACATGGCAAAGAAGTATAAAATTGACAGGAAACAAACCACAGTAACTCTCAGCCATCAGATCACCTTCTTTTGCCTCTGTTTGTCTTCATTCACTTATACCATTGTCACAGAAAGCAGTCAGATGTTTTACATGAAAGACTAAAGCAACACACTCTCCGTGCTCACCTGTTCAGGGTTGCAGGCTCTATGATTCCATTGTATAAAATAAATAATAGACAAAATACATATTTAAATATTTTATCAACTCCGTCATCATTCCCATATTTAAATCAAACTAGGATTTTAACCTATGTAAAAATGTGAATAGTCACTCTTATAATTTTAAAATACTTATGACCTGTATCACCTAATGATTTTTCAGCATTTTTAAGACTTAAAAGAATCGATATTTCGGGGGAAAAAAATTCATTTCCTCATTTCCAAGGTGCTACCTTCTGAATAAAAAGTTTCATAGTCAAAAAAATGTCTATCAGATTCAATATACCTTTACAAGTAAAGGAAAAATGTATGGATTTTAGGAGCGGTTGTGAAACAAGTGAGCCAGCATGTCCTCAAAGTATAATAAAGTATGTGTTATAAGGTCAATTGCAATTTTTGTGTTGCCTTTTTGCTTTGCATTTACCAATCTTCATTTAAGGGCCTCAGAATTTTTTTCCACATTCCCTAGGCAAAGGAATGTCTTGCACAACTGAAAATAAGACAATAGAGCATACAGCATGTCAGCAGCAAAGCAGAAAAGAAAAAGTTCAAATTGAAGCACCCAGTTAATAACCTCTCTGTGGTAAGAGATACTCCAACATGATTGACTGCAAGGGGGTCTCTGTATCAGAATTACACTAATGAACATGAATGCTAGAAAGTCCTGCAAGAAGGTGTGACAGTTTTCGTGGCAGCCTAATGCTATCCCCACTGAGGAACCTAATTCTGATGAGAACACTATTCCCACTAATGCAAATGTACATCATGTGAAAGAGAAATGGGACCAGCTCTGACTAGGAAATTACTCGCTGCATAGATAAAGGGAAGAAATTGAAAAAGTAAAAGGAAAACGGCTTCTTCCCTCATCAGTAGAAGAGTTTCACTAGCTATTAGAAAGTGTCCAGATAGTGAAGAGCCTAGATGGGAAGCCATATGAGGAGCAGCTGATGTCATGTATTTTTCAGCCTAGAGAAGAGACTGAGGGGAGACTTCATGGTCACGAGAGGAAGTGGAGTAGTAGGTGCTGATTACTTCTCTCTAGTGACCAGTGACAAGACCCAAGGGAATGGCAGGAAAGGTTTAGGTTGGATGTTAGAAAAGGGTTCTCCACCAGGAGGGTGGTTGAACACTGGAACAGGATCCCCAGGGAAGTGGTCACAGAGTTCAAGAAGCATTTGAACAGGCATATGGTGTGATTCTTGAGGATGTTTTGTGCAGAGCCAGAAGTTGGACGTCGATGATTTTTGTGGGTCCCTTCCAACTCGGGCTATTCTATTATTCTATGACTCCATGATCAAAAGGAGCTAACTACTACAACTCCCTTTACCTACTTATATACTGCAAGTGCTGAGAAAGGAAAGCAATAATAAGACTTTGAAGATAGGATGAAACAAATCAAAATGGACCAAAACAAACCCTGGACTGTATCAGTTAGCTTATGACTGGTATGCAGAAAAAGATGCAAAGGGAAAATTGCCATTTCAAATCAAGCTGTAGAATTTATCCTTGTTCAAAAAAAGAGGAAATATTAGGGAATTCCAGGTAGCTTGTAAGCATGTGACAAGCCTATATAAATGACAGCTTGAAGTGGTCTGGTATTCCTGCATAAAATAATTTAGCTAAAACATCTTATGAAAGAGTGAAAAATAAACTGTGAGAAAACAAAGCCCTATGTCTAAATTAGCCTATTCATTGGCAATTTCTTAGATTCAGTTCTGCAATTCTTCACTTCTTATCTGATTGGAAGGACAATTATTTATTAGACAGATTTTAAAAAAAATTATTTTTAATCAGACAATGACATGTAAATATGAATCAGAAATCAGTAACAGCATGTCCTACCTTTCCAGTTACACGGCCATTGACAAGAGCAAGTGCAAGACGTGGCATCTGGTGACTGCTGAATATATATTTATTTCCTCTTTTGACATTTACATCAAAAAGACCTAAAAGTTAAATGGAAAAAATGTCAGATGTATGAAAGTATATTAATTCATATTTGCATTTAATTACAATTGATGGTTTATAATTTTCAAGGGAACAGAATTAATTGTTTAACTCAACAGTTTGACCTCTGCGATCAATAAATTCTCTCATTCCTTCAGGAAAGGGCATCTAGGGACTATTTTGCTGCCTAGAAGAGAAAAACCCTGAGAGCTAATGATAAGGGACAAATTTCTTTTTATCAGTGTATGTGTTTTTAAAAATCCATAAAAAGGAGCTGAGAAATCCAGCATAATGAACTGGGCTATACCAATGAGTTTAGATGATAAATAACAGATGATGTAGGGAACATAAAGCTCTCAGGTAAGAAAAGAGAATTCTTTTTCTCTATATCCATATTAGAATTTGTAAAGTGAATCCTGCAGCATAGCTCATGGCTTCTGCAAGTTTAAATCTGGCCAATTTTCCAAACAATTACCTCTTACAGCTACAAAATACTGATGAAAGGCGAAGTAGTGGCATTTTTATTGTTCCCAGCAACAACAGCTGATTTTTTAAGCAACTGTTCTACCAGTACATTATGTTGTCTATTTGTAAGACATAGCTGTCTCTGGAGGATTCCTGTGGTGTCCTGATGCACTCTTTGGCATGTCCTGAAAGATTCTGTACTATTACTTCCATAAAGGTCTGTGTAAGGTCCCTGGGAAGACGTTAGAGAGACTGAGCAGCTCCATCGCTAAAAAGGTAACGAATGTGGCTAAGATGATACATATTATGGTTAAATGTTAGTAATAGAGTGGGATGAAAGCTGATAAAAGAGAGGAACTGGGAGACTGCCACTGAAATCAATTACAAGCATGGAACATAATGAATTTATATATATATACATATATATGTACACACACACATATACTCCTTATTAATAAACTGTACCTAGAGGTTCAAAGTTGTAGGCTTAGATGGATCTGTCTGTGAAAGTCTGTAACTGTCCTTGCTGTGTGAGTTCTGTGGGAGCACTAAACTGCAGATGACAAGAACTTTCTATTTGGTAAGGGAAAGTCACTAACAAGACACCATCTTAGATGTGTGTGTGTGTGTGTGTGTGTGTGTGTGTGTGTACTCTATATGTAAACTAGGCATATAATTTCTGAGTTCTTACAGACATTAATATATGTACATATTTTAAATTAGGAAAATGTTTATTATAATTATCTACTCCTATTCATTATAGGAATCCTAATATTAAAGTCCTCCTTTCTTGTACCTTTTATGCATGCATCCACATGAAGAATACTTTACCATATTTGTTTTTCGTGTCTCCAAGAGCATCAACTCTGCCATCTGGGTTGAGGCAAATGAAGCCATGGGTGAGTCTGTTGTAAAATTGAAGTGTATTGGCTTTCCGAAATTTCCACTTCTCAGCAGCCCACTAGTTTGTAAACAACCAACAGAAAAGATTTATGAGAAGATGATACACACGAATTTGGCATACAAAGCATCCAACTGACCTAATTTCACTCAAAGCATAATTTGAATTGTTTAAATTAAAATAAAAGGTACATTCTTACAGTTTCTTTTCTCTTGAGTTCCAGCTCTTGTCCTGAGCAGATAAAAACAATGTAATTAGTTTACCAAGGTCCATTCCATTTGTCACCGTCACAGTCTCCTCCCCCTCAGTTTTCACCGTTTACCAAGGTCCATTCCATTTGTCACTGTCACAGTCTCCTCCCCCCCAGTTTTCACTTACTTCCTGGAAAAGTGCTGGCATCTGTCACAGCCAGTTCTCTCACAATATTGCCATCATCCTGTCCCTGGTCCAGCCACCTGAAAAACAGAACCTGTTTCATTAATAACCTTGATTGGTAACTTCCACAGTAATGTACAGATGACACTTGGATATTGACATTGGCTGTTCTATATATTAAAGTCTCAAGGCTGACAAACAGCCATACAAAAATCCAGCTTTAGTGAAAAGAGATTAACAGTGGCAAAAATTATTTTGCTTGCTTGTTCTTGATGAAACATAAATAAATGCTTTTCTGGACAGAGCTACAAGGGCCTAAGCCAATTATTACAAATCATAGAACTCATATTGATCCCAGATCAATAACAAAATGCACACTGGTCATGTTGTTTATTCTTCCTGTCTGCAAGAAGGCTACAGCAGGATGCAAATTGTTCCATGCCCTGAAAATCCCTATACAAGGAGGTAAATCCAGCACTGGCAACACTTTTATCATGTTTGAACTATACTTTTACAATGCTATTGTACACATGTACTTATGTAAGTTAAATCTAACTCCATTTCAGTCAAAAGGATTCACACACTCAGAGCAAAACAGAAAGCACAGCATCAGACTCTAACAATAACTAGCACATACCCTGTATTTTTCTGCCTGAAATGGATTTGAACTCTCCCTAAATTATGTATGAAGCTAGCATTATAGATCTCTTCATAGCAGTTCATCTCATCTAGAATACAGAATCAAAATTAGGTCAGGCAAGGATGAGGTGCTGTATCTGATAGGCAGAAAGCCCTTACTCACACATAAATCAGTTTCAGTGTGCACATCGCTCACTCTGAGCTGTCTCAGGCAGTTATTTATTCACTCAGAGAAGTGAGAGAAGGAAATAGAGTTGGGGTGCCACTGGCAAGATGCAGCTAGACTCTTACGTGACTGGACTTTAGCATTCCTAATATTTGCACGGATCTTTATCGATTAAAATTTTTCCACAAGGTGTTGAGAATTAATCAGGCATAGATAAAATTGGAAATGACTTATAAAACAGAAGATTCAGAGCAGCAGCATCTGCAGGGGAAAATGTAGGGAAGTTAGGATTGCTTCAAATTGCGTTGCAGCTCAGCGACAGGCTGCAAAGTAAATGAGTAAAAGAGATGTGGTCAGGTAGCTGCATTTGTGATTGCCATTCCACAGGGTCTTAATGTCTGATCTTGAGCTCATTGAACCCCAAATTAATCTCCATACTGACTTGAGTCGAGCAGGGACAGTTTGCTAGAGAGACAGCAACCAACTCTTCTGAAAAGCCTTGCATCGCATGACATGGAAGAACGGATGGACCTGATGGTGTCAGATCCAAGGTGTTGAAGATGGGGAATGTGTAAAAAAAGCCTATCTTAAATAGTTTTAAAGGTACAAGAATGGAAATTTCCCGGGCAGAACTTTTTATTGCTTTTTCATTAGCTCAAATGCACCAGAGTTTTGGGGCAGATACAACTCAGAGAGCTGTAGAAAGCAGCAGACTGTTTCAACTCACTTCTTGGGAAACACGTATTTCCATTTACAGTACATTTCAGCAGAAAAACTGTGAGTGGTTACAAATTTGTTAATAGTCTAACCCAAATAAAACACCACCAACCTGTGACAAAGAAAAGTATAATCCAAATATGTTATAGGATCCTTGATTACAACTTTGTCCAGAAACCAGCCACTTCCTTAAAATAAATAAAGCAAAAATAAGTTTGATCATGAGAGATGGATTGATGGATTTAATTATGTCAGACTTCCTATAGTTTTCTCTCCTCTACTGGAACTGCAAAATCTGCAGTTCTGACAGGTTCCTAGAGTCACAGCTAGGAGAAATGTCTGGAGAGAAGACAGCACCTACTCTAGGTGCTGCAAAGCTTGTTCATGGGCCTGCAAGCTGCTAGGTCTGTCCCTGGCTGCATCCCTCCCTCTTTTAACATAGTCATTGTATAAGATTTATTTGTTTTTCTAATCAAAATATCAACAAGATTAGATAACAGCTTATCATGACTCAAAATAAGTTGCTATGTTTTGCAATATTTAGGCTGAAGAGTTTGAAAAACAGGACTTGCAACTGCAAGCAATTTATGTTCACTATTAAATGGAAGTCCAATGACAAGATAGTGTAGCAAAAGTCTTAAACTGAGTGTTTACAGTGCCACTAATAATGCTAATCAAACTAAAATTATAATAGACTATTTTAACTTCAATACAAGACACAATCAATGTCTTAACATGCAGACATTCCCTCTCTTCAGAGGTTTTTCCATAGAGATTAGTCAAAAATGTCTATCAGACATTGTTCAGAACATAGTGAAAGTGAACACAAAATATTTTAAATTTGTGATGTAAAGTAATTATGTCACTTGAACAGTTTCCTTAGAAGCCTTTGACTTCTAAAATATTATCACACATTTGGTTTTAGAAATACATATTGTATCTCAAATAAAAGGTTAATAAATTTGCAGGCAGTATTCAGTGACTATGCAGAGATATTTCTGACCTGATCCAAGACCATTGTGTCCTATAACAATCTTGTACAAATGTCCAAGGTGCACAGCTTCAACAGCAAAGATGTCAGTCTGTAATCAACCAATAAAATTTCAGTAAAATCTAAAAAGCAGAGCATTCTTCAGCCATGAAATTCTGGAGAACCATAAACTCTCAGAATTCTTTTGTGAAGGTCATAATTTGAAATATCAGCTAATGATAAAATGAGAGCAAACTGTGAAGGTCAGGTTAACTGAAATAGAAGTTGTAAGTAAGCCTGATCACTTTGTTAATGGGAGTAGTTTCATTCAAAGGAATGGGAGCAGAATCAGAAAAGAGAAAATCATTCAAAGGAATGGGAGCAGAATCAGTGAAGAGAAGCCTGCTGAAAGCTTCATGGGCTAAACAATTACAAATTACAGCAGATTTTAACATGACAAATGCAGATATAAAATATGAAGTTTCATTTCCTCTTCACTTACTGAATCAGATTTTTAGAAGAATTAAAAGCAAAAGTACAATGCTTACCTCTTTTAAAAATGAAAATTCTGACATCCAAAAAAAACTAGTATAACTTTGGAAAGTATTTTGCGCTTATTAATGGAATTTTAGGGAGCCATTGGAATGCAGTAATTATCTATTTTCTAACTGCACCTTTCCTGGATTAACCATCCACCTGAGAGAGAAAAGGCAGCCAAAGATTTCAGAAAATGCCCTGTCTTTTACTTACTTGTCCTTTTAAAAATTTCTTGGATTTCTTGGATTTCTGTGACCTGAGCAGCTGTCTCGATCCTGTATCACCTCTTTCTCCATAGACAGAAATATAGACATCAGCCTCAGTTCCAGCATTCCACAGGTCTCCTGTTGTCACATGCACTTCATAGACAGTCACTGACAATTAAAGATGACAACTTTTCATATCACAGACATTATTATAGTTACAATAACATCTAGCTGGGAATATGCCTGTAGAGTCCAAATACATCTATGTCAAGGACAGGGTAAAAATCCTTTAAAATCCTATTCAATAAAATAATGTATGAACTTGCTTTGGTGTTACATGTGTGATTTTTGTCCCAGGCTGTCACTGTGGGGAATACAAACCAATTTAACTTTAAATGCACAATAGCATGTCTTTGTCCTGCAGCATCATTTGAAATCATCATAAAGCTAAAAAGTAGATAGCATAAATCGAAGATTAGCTTCACCATCAGTATTGAGTTCAAAACTATAAAAAGAAACAGGCGCCATCAACATTTTGAAAGCATTGATTTGCCAAACAGGCAATTTTAGTTTTCTAGGACCCTTGTACTCTTGAAAGCATTGATTTGCCAAACAGGCAAAAATCTAGCACCAGAATTTAAGTTTTCTAGGACCCTTGTACTCCGTAATCTGCATAGTTTCATTTTTTTAGTGATTCATGCAATAGGATAGAATGATAGAATGGTTTGGCTTGAAAGGGACCTTTAAAGACCATCTAGTCCAATTCCCCTGCCATGAGTATGGACATTCAATTACATTAGGTTGCTCAGAGCTCTGTCCAACCTAACCTTGCATGTTTCCAGGAATGAAGTAACTACCACTTCTCTACATTCCATATGGAAGTTCTTTAAAGAATGCAAATTTAGGGGGAGAAACCTAGGACTTAAATTCAATAAATCCTTAATAGAAATGGATAAGGCTAACAAACCAAATTTGAGTCAAAGTCTAATGAAACTGAAGTAAAGACTATAATACATAAAAATATGTATGAATATAATTAAAATTCAGATTTGTAGGAGTTCCATAAAGTTCAGAATTAAGATAAAAACATGCAATACAATCTTCAGTAAAAGCATGGGGAAGGCAAAATTTATGTCAACATACAGTAACACTATATTGTTAGACCAAGTGAGGTGCAGAGATGAAAGGGGGAGAAAAACTCTCATTTTCTGGCACACAAACTCTTCTTTCAGGTGTTGGTGCCCTTGTGATTTTCTGTCTTGCAAGCAGAAAAGAATTTCTGAACCATTGGGTCTAGAACCACATCAACATTATCATCACTCAACTGTCAGTTTCCATTTGAAACATGCTATGAAGTTTGACTGTAAATTCTCTGAAGGGAGTTGCTTCCACATCTCACTCTTTTGATGCCCAAACACCTTCTTTTTACAAGCAGTGAATATTTATTCATGATCAGTCCAGATCTCCAATTATGCTAAGTGGTTGGTCAGTGTTTACAACTTTTCCCTTTATCCTTTTTTTTTTAATGATTATATCTCATTCATTTACATGGCATTTTTTGTGCATGTTACTATCCAAGCCACCTGTGAAGAATGCAGTTTGGATAATAGTAGCAATCTGGCTAAAATATTAAACAGTCTGCATGGGTTATTCTAATGTGCCCACACAGAACACTAGTGGTAGTTTGCTTCTGGCATGACAGCTATCTTATTTTGATATGAGGACCTCTAAACTCCTCTGAAGTATTGTACGGTAGACATATGCTATTGACAAATCCAGCATAGAGGATTAACATTGCTAACTTACAAGTTCAAGCAATGCTCAGAATTTTTTACACTTCTCTTTACCTCTCATAAGCCTAGGGATCATCATGTCTTTATAAGTATTTATAATGCTTAGAGGTTTTAGCTTTTATCCTAGGAGATTGTGGTTCTTCCAGTGGCATGAAAATATGTCAGGATAATTTCAGGCTGAACATTTGGACCAAGGTTCTTTCTTCCAGTGGCATGAAAATATGTCAGGAGAATTTCAGACTGAACATTTGGACCAAGGTTCTTCAATAGAGTGTGGCTGGTCACTGGAACAGGCTCCCCAGGGTAGTGGTCACAGGACGAAGCCTGTCAGACAGAGTTCAAGGAGTGTCTGAATGATTTAGTCATATGGTTTACCCTTAGGTAGTACTACAAGGAGCAGGGAATTGGACTTGATGATCCTTATGGGTCCCTTCCAACTTCAGATATTCTTTCCTTCAGGTAATCCATGGAAAAGTGTGCAAAACAGAGATTAAGAGAAGGAACAGTATTCTTTAAATCTAATTTTCTCTATAAGCATTGAACATTACATTTGTAAACATGCCATTCTGAAATTAGAAATTCTAAGGGTTAAGCTTGTTTACCTAATTCAGTTCTTTCACTCATGCCTATGAATTATGCAAGACAGCACCAAAAGGTAGACCACATGGTTTTTCACAGATTCGCTATTATTATTTGGACAAAAGCCAGACACATTTAAGACAAAAGTTTTTGAAAATCTTTAGTTAGCAACATAGCCAGGTACTATTTTCCCAGAGTATGCCTGTCTCACTGCTTGAAACAGTAACTGTTATTTGATACTGTATTTTACCCACATCATTTCACATGTCACCACCTGATTTATTTACTTGCCCAAATTTTTCTTTACAGCACCCACATAAACAGATGTCCCATGAACAGACCATGGCAGACACAGAGAATTTATTTCTGCAGAGTAACAATCCCATGTCTGAGACCACAACAATCCTCTCTATTGCTACAATTTTCTCCTTCAATAACTACCTACTTTCCAGTTTCTGCAAGAAGAAAAGCAAAGGTCTGCCAGCCACCAACACTGTGTAACCCCGATTTATCCCCAGCATATAATAAAAGATTGTGTCATAAACCACGAGCAGAAGGGGACAAAAGTAGGATGGCAGAGGATAAAATGTCAAATGAATGGTGCTCAGTCTTGCAGCGTGAGAGTAACAAAGTCTCTGTGTAATACTTCTTAACAGTTTAATTCCCATGTTTTCCCTTTGAATAAAAAAGACTGTTAAATCAGAGTGTTTTAGCCTCTTTTTATTCAGAAATTGGTTTTAAAGTGCCTCTCATCATATCTCTTTCTGATTGAATCCAGACCCCTTCACTGTTCTGTTATCAAACCATCTTCTCTGAAGTTAAAAGCTATGTTCCCTTTTCACTGTCTCATGCAGAAATATAGCATTGGCAAAAAGACACAGGGGCTGTCTTTCAATTACTAAGTTAGAGATTAAACTGCCATCTCCAAAGCCTTCAGCATGACCCCTCTTACACTAAGGCTGGTAGAACTGCACAGAAGTTCTTTTCCTCCTCCTTTGTGTGAGGGAGAAATTGTTAACTACAAAATGCAGATTGAGAGGATGGTTTTAAGAGTACCGTTGTGTTTTTCATGCACAAAGATTACTCAATAATAAAAATCTTTCACCGAGCCTTTATCTCAGAAACAAGGAAACTGCCTACTCAGAAAGAACCTGAAAATTAGGAGGTTGTTGAGGTCTGTGTTCCAGAATATTTAAAAAAGAGAACTTATAGGGAAGAGCATATACTGCAAATAGAGGAATTGAGCATATTCAATGTAATATGTTAATTGTCATTAATTAACATTTATTTAAAAAAGTGGGCAAGAGGTGCTTGACTTTTATACCAGTGTGCTTGTATGTCCCCCTACACTAACAAATTAGTCTCCTGACTAAAGACAGCAAACCTGTGAGGAAGCAGGCTGACTACCTCTGAGGCTTTTTACACCCTTTAAGGGTATGAAGATCATGACCACTCAAGATCAAAAGTCATTATGGTTAATGTGGGTGGATCTCTCTACAGCATTTTATGAACCATTTACAGCTGCTAAGTACACCACTGAAGGAAATCTCTCCCACTATTCTTTTTCTCCTAAAGACTTATTTATGGGGCAGAAGCCTGGTTTTGTTGCTTTTCTTGTCAGATTCTTAATCTCAGAGCCCAAGCATCACAGAGAGGCATAAATACAACTCCAGACCACCCAGCTCTTTATTATAAGAATAACTGTCCTATGGTATGTTTCCCCACATACATGGGCCATTTTCTGGACTTCTGCCCCTCAATTTCATTTATATCCTCTTCCTCTAGCCTGCACCCACAACAACTGTTACCAGTGAAATTAAAATTCTACAGGATCAACACAAATTCCACCAAGCACTGCTGTGTCACAGAATATTCAAAGCTGGAAGGGACCCTTGAGGATCATAAAATCATAGAATCATAGAATTCTAGGGATTGGAATGGGCCTTACAGATCACTTAGTCCCAACCCACCTGCCATGGGCAGGGGCACCTCCCCACTGTAGCAGGTTGCTCAAGGTTTCATCCAACCTGGCTTTGAACACTGCCAGGGTTGGGGCATCCACTACTTTCTTGGGCAACCTGTATCAGTGTCTCACCACCCTCACAGTGAAAAACTTTTTCCTAATATCTAGCCTAAATTTCCCCTTCATCAATTTAATCATTCAGTCCATCTCCTGGCCCCGCACAGGACACCACCAATAATCACACCATGTGCCTGAGAGTGTTGTCCAAATGACTCTTGAGCTTTACCAGGTTTGGTGCTGTGACCACTTCCCTGGAGAGCTTGTTCCAGTGCCCAATCACCCTCTGGATGAAGAGCCATTTTCTAATATCCAGCCTAAACCTCCCCTGACACGTCTTCAGACCGTTCCCTTGGGTCCTGTCACTGGTTGCCAGATAGAAGGGACCAGTGCCTGCTCCATCACTTCCTTCCATGAGGAAGTTGCATACTGCTATGAGGTCTCCCCTCAGTGTCCTCTTCTTCAGGCCAAACAAACCAAGAGACCTCAGCCACCCCTTATATGCCTTCCCCTCGAGGCCCTTCACCATATTCACTGCTCTCCTTTGGATGCTCTCTATTAACTTAATATCTTTCTCATACTATGGTGCACAAAACTGCACACAATATTCAAGGTGAGGCTGCACCAGCACAGAGTAAGGCAGGACAATCACCTCCCACGATTGTCTGGAAGAGACCTAACACTTCTCGCCTTCTGAAATATTGTTGAGGTTTTATTCCACATCCAGAAATTAAAAGTGTTCTGGAAGCCTGTCCCAGACCCTTACCTGAAAGAAACTAAAACAGCAGCTACAATAGTCATACTGGAGCTATAATCCTCAGTTACTGACAACAGAATTTGACTGACTCATATGTGACGGCTTTATGGTAGTCACACATAAGTGAGGTGTCTTTACTATTGCCTTTATTTTAAATCAAACACAAATGCTGAAAAACCTTACCAAAGAAGGAGTCCTCTTGAAGAATCTGTGAAATTCAAAGCTTTAAAGATTTTCCCATCTCCTTTTCAGTGATTTTTAAGCTTTCATCTGAGTATGCCCAGTAACCACAGGAAAACAGAAAAAGCGTTGTAGCAGTCAAAAAGTAACAGAGGGTCTGATGAAAAACAGTGAACTTGCCTCTATTGACAACAGTCTGTGGTCTGAATTAGCTGATGTGGTACTGTGCTTACCTGGAAGAATAGGCTGACCCTGCTGTAAAACAGGAAGCTCCACAAGTATTTCCCCATCAGCCTGATCCTGGGCCAACCATCGATGTACAGGGAAAGAAAACTGCTCCTCTGAGAAAAGGTTCAGCAACTGTACCTAAACAGCACCAAGATTTGTAATTTAACTTGCTGATCTTCAGACCAGACAGAACACAATGTGAAATGTATGGGATGCTGCTGAAATATGTGCAGGTAGAGGTCTGTCCACAATCACAAAAACATTGGTGTGGGCCATCTCTGCTCCCTGGATACAGCTGTCCCAATCAGACTTTCCACTCAGCCAGATTTGAAAGCCCAGGGCAGATGAACTCAAATGCAACCAAGACACAGGGTTTATCAGCACTCCCACAAAATACAGCTGTAATTCCAGCTGGTACATCCACGTGGGCTGGCACTAGGTGGCATGGCTTACCAAAGACGGAAATTCTCACTGGGAAGCTTAGCAATGCCTGCAGTTCTATTCCTTATTTTCTTATCAAAACAGGAATTAAAGGAACAGGTTTCTCATTCTTCAACACTGCTTGTGACATAAATAAACCATGAGAGTGCTAGCCCCAACTCCATCTGGGCCCTACAAAATGCCCTATACAATTCTCTTCCATGCCCAACTTCTAGCATGTAGCAACAAAAGGGCCATATGCACAACAGCTGAAGGATGGAAGGAGGTTGAGTTATTTTGTACTTCAAAGTATTCCTTAGTAAGCACTTCAGAGGCTGCTGTATACTCTAATAGTCCCTGATTATGCTAATTTATACCAGTATCTAGATTTTGGACCAGCAGAGAGAAGCAAAGACACCCCTACTTGTAGTTTCACTCTGTGCTTTGCAGAATCCAATCTCCTTAATTTGAATATTTAACAAACTCAGAATTACTGGAAATATTTTTATCTCTTTCACTGCCTGAATATTAAAGAAAGAGACTCAGCTGGAAAACCTGGTATGTCTTGGCCTGTCAATTTCTACTGACGAATCTTGAAAAGGGAGTTTGCACTCCTGAAGCAGCAGCTTTGTGGACATTTTCTGGCCTGATATCACCGCAGTACAGATACAGACACAGAAATAATGGGACGCTCCTGGAGGGCTAGTGTGCTTGACTACCAGAAATGCTCTGCGGTTGTAGAGCACTCTCTTTTAATTTCATCTTTTCCAGAAAAAAAGGTGTAATTTCCCAATGAACAATGATGTTAAGAGTTTAGGTTGTTTGTCTTCTATGAAGTCTAGAAATCAATGGCTATACTCCTTCGTCTCTCTACAGTACAAAACACTAGGTAACTTGTAGGGTGTGTTTGGTTGAATGTATTTCTCTTCTATGACTTCCTGCCCAAAGCTGAAAAGAGGGAATGACCTAACCCTGGCTGATGAATCACTCCCTAAAAACTTTGCCTGATTGACTGAGGTTCCATAAAGATGCAATTCAAATTTATAAGCCAATAACTAATGGAATACAGTGAATCAATTTGTAAAATTTTTTCTTGTTGATTTCAATTAATATATCCTAGGTGAAAAGAAGGGGAATAATAGCTTCTCATTTATTTTCTTTCCTTTATTTTTTTATTGTCAAATTTCCTCAGTCTCTCAGTTTGAATGTCTGTCTTATACAAAGCAGGCAGTGAAGCCTCTATTCACAGTGGGTGGTGTACAACAAACCTGCAAAGGTCTTTTTGTTGAGTCAGATTTTATGATAATCGAAACTTCTAATACCAAGATTATGCATGCAAATGAACCTTTTCTATAAGAAAAACCACACTGTTCTCTTCTGGCTTCTCAACTCAGTTGTCCTTTAGAAATTGTTGGCAACTTGCCCCTCTGTTTCATGGGACAAAACTATGAGCTATTTTTTACCCTTTCACTGCTTTCACACATGTTTATGAAAAGAAAAATGGCAAGAAACAGATGAATTAAATTACATCTGGCTTTAGCATTCCCCAAAATACAGCACAGCTGAAAAACAAATACCTAGGCTTTATAATCAGGCAATCCTCACCTCAAGTGAAAGAGGTATAGTCCCTATAATTCTATCATGAAACCTCTAAGAGTGATACTACCAGTGGCATGATATTTAAATGCAGACATGCATCGGCTAGGGGTATGAACTCAGAGGATCTTGCCTAAACTTCAGTTAACACTGCTCAAGCCTCAGTCTTCTTTCTGAATCACAATCCCAGATTTTTTTTAAAAAAAGCACCAAATAGCTATAGAATTTGAGCACTGATCAATGAATATTTGACTTTCAGTGGACATTTGGCATTAGATAGATCTAAATATACCTTCAAATACAGGTTTAACACTGTCTTTACCAGCAGCTTCTAAAGCCCTTCATAAAATCCTGTCTCTTAACTGAAGGATAAGAAACTCTGCCACAAAGATGGAAGTGTTTCAGGCATGCATATCACATACTTGGAACACATAGTACATCATGGATATTAAGGATAAAAGTCAGATCCTTTCATTTCCAGTCCAGAAACTTATAAACTATGTTTCACAACTGAAGCTTGAAACAGAACTAGCAGATTCTCTTTGCTATATTATATTTGCTTTACCTGCATCAAGATATTGTTTTACATAAGGAGGGTAAAGAACTTGTTATTGTCTTTTTTTGTCCTCAGAGACACAGAGCTGGAAATATCTGCAATGTTAGCCCTGGTGCTAGGCATAAGGACTCAGCATCAGCCACAGATTTGAGGAGGACTTGGCTAGACTGGGTTCAATGGCTTTCTGGGTTTCAACAAACACTCTGTAGCATACAAAGATTATAGAAGACTCAGACTTTATCAGCTAACTTAATCAGTGCTCCCTGATGCCCAGCCAGACATTTTTAAAGAAATGTAGCATAGAGCTGTCACTAAATTGCAAACAGCCAGCCAACACATAGCATCATAAGTTGCCTTTAATTCCACGCAGAAACCCTTCTTCATAAAAAATTCCTTAAATGAAAGTGCAAGCATTTGATGACGCTAATATACTTATCCCAGAGATTTTTTTTCTTACTCATATTTTGTCTCCACTGTGATAGGTACTGCATTTTTAAAGACAAAATTATTTCTCCTTGCTTTTACCTCTTGACAGTGCCAGGCAGGAGAGTTTCCTGAATTTGTGTGTCCTATGTGTATTTTGTAGAGATGCCCTATGTCTCTAGTAGTAACCTGTAAAAGAAACACAACTAATGAAATACATAACATTTGTTAAAAAGAAAAGACATGCAACAGAAATTCATTTAGTAACTGTAAGGTGAGACTTTTGTTTACAAGAAGTAAATATTCTGATATTTAAACAAGTGTTTCCGAATTACTTTGCTTCAGATAATCAATAGAATCTTGGGTCTTCTGAAGGACAACCCTTAAAAAACCTATTGACCTATCAACCCCATTTAAATGGCTTCAGGATGCAGCTGTAGCACTTCCCCACTGAATATTGGCCTCAGTGGGAGATGAATACGGACTGCATGTATGAGCAAAATGTAAATATGTCTTGACCCAGTTGCAGTTTAGCATCTATAGCACTGATCTGCTACAAAATTATTTTTGTCTCCCAAATACCTCTTTCTCCCTACCTCTCCAGGATGGTATGTCTTACAATTCTGGAAACAATTGTGTTCAGCTTTGATGCTTCTTTTTACAATTTTTTTTCAATTAAATCAACTTAAAAAGCTGTATTTGAAAGATTAGCTCTTGGGCATGCTGGATGAGTGTGTCCAGTACAGATAACAGGATGCTGAGGGAACAACTTTGTGTGAAGGTTATTCAAACAACTAGTATGAACTTAAGTACACAAATGGAAAGCTTATCTTCAAGCAACTGGAAGCTCACCATGGGTGTCTTCCCTCCTCTCTGTATAATTTATTTTGTTATAATGGAGGCTTGATTTTCCATCCTTCTGTTGTTTTCTGTAGAAATCATTTTCATGATTTCATTGACAGTGTATAAATGGGTGCGAACTGAGTTGCCTGCATCATGAATTTCTCTCAAGGCAGTGTTACAAACAAGAAACAGAACAGCGAGGACGGACCAGAGTTAACCGAGATCTAGCATAGAGCACACTTCAGAGAGCCTTTTCTCTTTATATACATTTCAGAGTAATCACTCCTTAATTGCATTCAGCGCTATGGATACTTGCCTAAGAGGGGAATCCTAGATCCCAAACCAGGGTCTGCCTCCATATTGTGCATTTAAAAGTCATTGGAGGTGAAATTATGTGCAATAATGGCAACATGAAGTGGCCAACAACAGCTGTTGTGAAGAGGGTCTTTTTATCCATCTGACACCTGCTTACTTATTTTATCTACTCCTTTTAATCTGAGTTCTTTTGATATCACAGATGGAGAATGACATACTATATCAAGGGTGCTGGATTCTTCTGAGAAAATCCATCATGCTGAAAAAGCAACAGAACTGCATTTCCTACATCCCAAACATCTATGAGCCTATTGTGGAAAAGGTGAGCTTTTCATCAATGCTGCCATTAAACACCTATTCTCAGAAGGCTACTTGCTATGCAGGATACTAACAAAGGAAGCCCCTGTTTGTCATACGGCCCTACAGCTGGCACCTGCTAGAGACAAACCCTGACAATCTCATACACACAACTCAAGCTATGCAGATTCTGTTAAGGGACCTATTCTGGCTCATTTGATGACCATAGAATCATAGAATTATAGAATTGTTAAGGTTGTAGAAGACCTCTAAGTCATCAAGTCCAACTGTCAGCCTTGTACCATCACCATGTTCACCACTAAATCATGTCCAAGACTGATGGAGGAAGAATTTGTTTGTGTAACTGGGAGCAGGAGCAACTTCAGATAGACAGATTTATTACAGGTGTAAAATTTGCCATTATTCCTATAAAGCAGCAGGTATTTAACAAAGTTTAAAATTTACTCGATATCCTAATTCTTCATTTTATCATGTACTTTTTAATATTGTTTCAAATTTGCAAACTAGGCAAGTGCCTGCTGTCCTATATTTCTTGGTATTTTCTTGGTCACTATGTAAATTAAACGGTAGTTCTTCTTAAACAGACTAGAAATGTGTTGGATCAAATCAGCTTTGGACAAGTGAGTGGGAAAGGATACTAAATTAAGCTCTATATTTAAGTCCTGTCTCTCGTCTCCACATATGTGTACCCTACAAAAAAAAGTCTCCTCATCACATTCATTTTGAAATGGCATGTGATCTGGCAGGATGCAAGAGGGCAGTACAATAAATATATATTACTTACTGTGAAGATGTCTTCATTGCCTCTCTGAAATAATTTTCCCTTCTCTCCATCAAGAAAAATAGGACCCGAGCTGCCATGATCCCCATATAATGTAATATAAACCTTTGAGCTTGTTCCGGCAGACAGCATATCACTGGTGAGGACTGACACATTCCATTTCCTAGCTATCAAAAGATAAAAAGACTCACTGAATTACTTAAACTCAAGATTCTTAAACAAAATGCATTCCAGTAATCAAAATTCTAAATAATATCGTGCCAACGAATACAAAAATACATGTTTCATGAAATTAGAGCAGGCAAATATTGAGTTTGCTATGTTGGGCATGTCAAGAAATGTCAGGTTGCATCCACATCCTTTACTCCGCATGTACCATATGACAAATGAGTCAAATTTGCATGGATGTAGATCACTTTTCAAACACAGTTTTGAAATATTGCATTAAATTGTATTAAATATGGCTTTCTGTTTACTTAGGATATATGAGCCCTGCTCAGTGCAGTGCTGTGTAATGACGTCCTTGACAAGCTCATCACTTCAAACATTCGGAAAAAACTCTTTACTCTGAGTCTGGTGAGGTACTGGAACAGGTTTCCCAGAGAAACTGTGGAAGCCCCATCCCTAGAAGTATTCAAGGCCAGGTTGGATGGAGCTCTGAGCAATCTGTTCTAGTGAAAGGTGTCCCTGCCCATGGCAGGGGGATTGGAACTAGATGATCTTTAAGGTCCCTTTCAACCCAAACTATTCTATGGTTCTATGATTCTATGATTCTTACATAGCCATGTTGACATTTTTTTTTCTCTTTCCATATCTGAATTTCATAAATATCGAGACCACGTACATAGATTTAGACTTTGGTTTAGTGGAAACTGAGTACCAATGGCATGGAACTAATGGTATCACGGAGGGATACTCTTACCAACAAGTTAAACTTGATCATTACAAGAATTTTCATAGTTTGAACACATTAAAATGACAGAATAAGTAAAAAATAACAATTGTGAGATCTGAGGAGGAGAAGTAACTGACAAAACCACATTTTCCAATAACAGAGCAGTGTGGCCCTTCTCAAAGGTTGCTATAAGCTGCTCTTGCCACAGCTGAAGTTAGCTTGCTCTCTCTGTTACAAAGGGGTTCTTTACACTGTTCAAAGCAGTGTCTGCTACAACTTTCTGTGAGCCATGACTGATGACAGGTGAACATGTCATCCTCCATGTTAATCCAATATATAACTGAGAAAGTAGGATAAGTATAAAGTTACACTAGGTACACATAACTAACCTCTTGTCTTAATTTAGTTTATTAAGGTCTGTTGGGTTTTTCTGGGGTACCTATAAATGTGTTTATAGTAGCTAGTATGAGGCTATGTTTTAGATTTGTTTGGAAAGCAGGGTTGATAACACAGAGATGGTTTTGATATTGCTAAGCAGCACTTGCACAGCCTCAAGGCCTTTTCTGGTTCTCATACTGCTCTGCCAGCAAGGAGGTTGGGGTTGGAGAAGGTGTTGAGAGAGGACACAGCTGGGACAGCTGACCGCACTGACCAAAGGGATCTCCCATACCATATGACATCACACTCTGTCTGTAGAGCTGGGGAAAGAAGAGGAAGGTGGGGATGTTCAGAGTGACAGCATTTGTCTTCCAAAGTCACTCTTACACTTGATTAAGTCCAACTTTCATGGGGATGGCTGAACACCTGCCTGCCCATGGGAAGTGCTTAGCTTTGCTTGTGTGCATAGCTATTGCTTTGCCTATTAAACTGTCCTTATCTCAACTCACAAATTTTCTTACTTTTCCAATTACCTCCTCCATCCCACTGGTAGGGAAGTGAGAAAGCAGCTGAGTGGGGCTTAATTGTCAGCTAGGGTTAAACCATGAAAAAAGGCTAAAAGATTGCATTAAATATTCCGGATAATTCTTAGTGTAGATTAACATAGTGATTAGACTAATTATATTAGATATCATCAGCGCTATAAAAATCAAGTTATTTGTTTAATAGTGATACCCAGGGAACTACTGGCCAGTCAACCTCACCTCAAACCCTGGAAAGGTGATGGATTGCCTCATTCTGGAGGTCATCTCCACCCACATGGAAAACAAAAAGGTGATCAGGAGTAGTCAGCATGGGTTCACTAAAGGTAAGTCATGTTTGACCAACCCGATTGTTTTCTACAATGAAACAACTGCCTGGATGGATGGAGGGAGAGCAGTGGATATTGTCTACATTGACTTCAGCAAGACTTTCAACACTGTGTCTCACAGCATCCTCATAAGCAAACTCAAATGTGGGTTGGATGAGTGGACAGTGAGGTGGATAGAGAATCAGCTGAACTGATCTCAGACAGTCATGGTCAGTGGCACAGAATCAACTTGGAGGCCAGTCAGTAATGGTGTCCCCTAGGGGTTCTATACAGGGCCCAGTATTGTTTAACTTATTCATCAGTGACTTGGATGAGGGGACAGAGTGCCTCCTCAGCAAGTTTGCTGATGATACAAAACCAGCAGGAGTGGCCAATACCCCAGAGGGCTGTGCTGCCATTCAGAAGGACCTCAACAGGTTGGAGAGATGGGCAGAGCAGAACCACCTGAAATTCAACAAGAGCAAGTGCAGGGTCTTGCACCTGGGGAGCAATAACCCTGACCACCAGTACACATCAGACACTGACCCACTGAAAAGTAGCTCTGCAGAGAAGGACCTGGGGGTCCTGGTGGACAACAAGCTGTCCATGAGCCAGCAGAGTGTCCTTGTGGCCAAGAAGGCCAATGGAATCATGGGATACATTAGGAAGAGTATTGCCAGTAGTTCAAGGGAGGTGATGCTACCCCTCTACTCTGTCCTCATGAAGCTACACCTGGAGTATTGTATGCAGTTCTGGGCTCCTCAGAACAAGAGGGACATGGAGCTCCTCGAGCAGGTCCAATGGAGGGCAACAAAGACAGTTAAGGGACTGGAGCTTCTCTCATGAGGAAAAGCTGAAGGAGTTGGTCCTGTTCAGCATCAAGAAGAGATGACTGAGAGAGGGCCTCACTAATGTACATAAGTATCTAAAGAGGGTGTGCCAGGAGGATGGGCCCGGGCTCTTCATGGTTGTGCAAACCAATAAGACAAGAGGCAATGGGCAGAAACTGCTGCTCAGGAAGTTCCACCTGAATACAAGAAAGAACTTTAGTGTGAGAGTGACTTCACACTGGAAAAGATTGCCCAGAGAGATCGTGGATTCTCTCTCACTGGAGATATTCAGGAACCCTCTGGACGCAATCCTGTGCCACGTGCTTCAGGATAACCCTGCTTAAGCTGGGAAGTTTGACCAGATGACCCACTGTGGTCCCTTCCAGCCTTGCCTGATCTATGATTCTGTGATTCTGTGATGCATTAAACAATTGAAAGGTCTTGCTTTCCTCTGACATCCTTAGAAGTAAGTAAATTATGCTTAGGTATTTCAGAAATTACCACTATGATGATTAGAGGAAATGGAGAAATTATTCATGTAGGAGAAAACGTTGAAAGAATATCTGTTTTTGTTGATAGATGCCAAAGAGAAAAAAGACATATCTAAGTAAATCACAATGATGGCCCTGCAACTAGTCGGAGGATGGAAACGGGAAAACCATTAAGACAAACATCAGAAGGACTCAAGTTCTAGATTCACTCTGGTGGAATCTTTAATGGCTATAGAGAAAAAGCTTTAAAATGAGATTTAGTAATTAAATAGAATTACCTACCTAATTGTGTGGCTTCTTCTAGCAAGAAGCTAACCTAGATAAACTGAAACTTCCTGAGACTGCGATCTGTATGTTATATTGGGTTTTTCCTTTTTAATAATGGCAAGACAAAAATGAATTCCTTCTAGAAGAATGGCATACTATGTATAAATCCCTTGAATTGTTGCTGAATTGTTTTCTATCCTATATAAAGTAGCTCATGTTTTACCTCATGATATTTTTCCCTCTGCCAATAAGTATGCTGCACTATGCTGCACATCAGCACTGTGAGATTCTCCCTTCAGCCTTCTCCAGTCTTATCTAATGAAAGTAATTTCATTTTGTCTGCATATCTCAGACACTTCAAAGTTTCTGTCTTTGTATATAGACCATACACATACATATGCATAGATTGTAGTCAGGAGGGGATCAGTCTCTTTTACCAAGTAACAAGTAATAGGACTAGAGGAAAGGGCCTCAACTTGTACCAGGGGAGGTTTAGATTGGATGTTAGGGAAAGTTTCTTCACTAAAAGAGTCATCAGTCATTGAACAGGTTGCCCAGGTTGAGTCATCATCCCTGGATTAAAAGAAAAGTTGTAGATGTGGCACTTGGGGACATGGTTTAATGGTGGACTTGGTGATGCTGGGTTAACAGTTGGACTCAATCTTAGAGGTCTTTTATAACATAAATGATTCTGTGATTGTGTGATCTTCCCTGAACCATTAATGAATATATAAACCCTGTGACAGTATGGTACATCTCACTGTCAACCTTTTATCCTGCTCTGAGGTGACCATTTTATTCCTTCTCTTTCAGTTAATATGCTGAAATCAGAACTCAGTCTTTCAGTCAGCTGTAATGCCTGCTAATTGTAACCTCAGGTAACACCTTACATTTCACCCTTTGAGTGTTTAGTTTGCTTGATAAGACTCAGTAACTCAGCAATAAGCACCTGATTAAAGGTTCTCTAACCTTGATCTGAAAAAGTTATGGTGCTGTGAATGCAGCATGAGTGCTGTGAATCCAGCTGAAAGACTGTGAGTGATGGAGACATATATATATATATGTTAACTTGCCTATCTAACATTTAGACATTATTTACAGCATAGAAGCTTGACACTCAGAATGTCATGTGGCATTAGTTGGATTCTAGTAAGTTTAAGATTCATTTTCCAAACATAGGTTTTATTTCTTTATTGACATGTAACAGGATGAAAAAATACCGTTGAGACTCTTCACTTGGAGCAGTTCTTAAATGTGTGAAGGAGGATGCCATAAGAAATAGAAATGGATGGAAGAACATCAGAAACAAGGCCAGCATAGGAAATAGCACATAGTTATTTAGTATGAAATAAATTAGACAATATCTATTGGTTTAGTGTTGTAACATTAGTTTATTACACAGAATACACTGCTTTAAACAACAGAAATATAACAATTCTTTATGGGGAAATATATTGGCCACTGGACTCCTAAAAAGAACTGAAGAGTGCTTCTGTGTTTCCTACCTGCACTGCAAACCCCTTTCGCTTCAGATCCAACTTCTACTTCCCCTCCACGTGCCTTCTGCCTCACATGGACACAATCAAAGCCTCTGGACTAAAAGGAATTTATGTCAGCCTTTTATTAGGTTCCCAATCTGGATAATCAAAGGATCATGATCCAGGGCTTATCACAGCATGTACATGCCAGTTATTCTCGACACAGGCTCCAAGAGTATAGAATGGCCAAATTCTCATTCTCTAGCTGGAAAATAGCACCTTCTTTCTTCAAGTATATGTCTGACTTCATTGACTTTGAAGCAAGGTGCTATGCAGTATTAGAAATTAAAATCTTACCAAAAAAACTGAAACACCCTGCCTAATCACAATACACATTAAATACTTTCCATTTTATGTTTAAAATCATTACTGAAAATTGTAAACCATTCATAAGTGCATACTAAACACAGATAATATAAAAAAATGCTGTAAACAGGTATCCAAAATAATTCTAATAATTGATTGAAAGATCCTGGAACATATTGCCTTGGATTCGTATAATACAACATATTTACAACAACGAAAACAAACAAACAAAACCCCAAAGTAAAACACAAAACAAACAAAAAAAGAACAAAACACATGGACTGTCTTTAAAAAACAGAGGTTAAAGAAGAACACACAACTAAAACTTGCAGTGTATGTAGGACACATTTAAGAGTAAGTGGTGCTGCCTCAGAAGGAAATATGGCAAGAGCAGTCAGGAAGTCCATTGACTCCCTTCTCAGTTCCTTAATATGCCCCTTTTCTAGTGTCCTCTGGGTAAAAGAGGCAAACTTCATTTGATGTCTGGATGATCCTATATATGAACTGAAAAATATCTTTACTCACATAAGTATTCTGAAATTGGCCCTTAAATAGCAATTTGATAATGTACATCTATATAAAAATAATATCCTCTGTTTCCTACTTTTTATTGCATTACAGCATTTGAATAATATTTCCTACTTTTCATTTGTGATTTTGATTCATTATGTGATTTTAAATTTTTTTTCCTGAAGAGGTTTTCACTAATCTGATGTTATAGAAGTTCCAAGATCTCTTTTACAAGTCTTTCTCATCTTTACCATTTCCATTGTTCATTGCACAAGAGCAAACTTCTTCTTTCTCTGCTTCTTCTGCTTCTTCTGCTTCTTCTGTGGCAAAGGCATTTTCATTTTTCTGATCTTCAGAGGCATTATGTTCAGTACTGTTTAAGGAAGTGTCACACTTCAGAAATGTTTTGGAATTACAGGTTTCTGCTGGATCTGCCAACATGGGAGAATTTTTTTCTCCAACAATATGAATTGGACTTATTCTTAAGGTATGACATATTTTTGTCTTTCCATTGGGTAGCTCACTATTTGCGCCTATCACAAGATCACTGGGTATGTGTTTGGATACATTATTTTGAGAATTTCTGACTTCCATGGACTTTACATTCGTATCCTCGGTAATATGTAACTTCCCTAAATTACTTGTGTCTCTCAGAGTTGAAGATGCAAGTATTCCAAAGTTACTAACAAAATCTAAGGTGTTATCAGCATAGAATCTATTAAAAATATTATTGGCAATCTTATTGATAGAGTTATTCTTCAAAGTCACATGATACTTTTTGTCTGTAATTAAATTTTCACCTGACCATTCTAAATGTTCACTCTTTTCGGCCAACAAATGTGAACCCAGCTGGTTCTCAATATCAGATGCCTTTTGGTAGGCATATCCTCTCTGTTCCTCATTAATTGGTATTACTGTTACCATCAGTATTGGACAATGTTGGCCGCATATAGCATGGAGTCTGTCCAAAGAGTCTTCTTCCTGAAGAGCACTCCTGTTAACATTACTAACATCAGTTGGCTGAGACTGTATGGGTTCAGTATTTAAAGGCTTTTCCAATGGATGCACCTTGTTATCAGGCAATCTAAATTCTACAGATGAAAAGGCTGGAAAATTGGTATCAGCTTGTGTGGAAGTAGAACCTACCATGACTGATGGGCTGATCTTTTCTTTGTTTCCTGCAGGAAGAATCTTACCATTGCGGCTAGGTTTGCTTTTTGTATTTAACTCATCCTGAAATGGTTCTGAATCACTATTATGAGGCATATTGAAGTAGTTGCAAAAATTTTCAGGGGGTTTAGCCATGTCTTCAAGCTCTGAAGAAGAGATTTCATCGAGGGCTGGGTAGTGATTCAGATTGCCAAAGTGAGAGTATGGAGCTTCATCACTATTAGTATCAACTGAAGTTGTATCCAAATTACCATACATTCCAATCCGTTCAGGTGGTGATCTTCTTATTAAATGATTTTCTTTGAGAAGCCATTTGCCTTTATCTATCAAGATTCCTTCATCTTCACTAGCTTGTATGCTAGGTTGACAATGTTGCTTTGGAGATTCCCCTAAACAGTCATTAGTATAACTTGTCTCTTCTCTATTGAGAGTAGACTGTGGTGTTGGTAAAGAAGTATTTTCTCTTCCCAATGTAGTGTCTTCTTTGTATATGTCAACTGGATATTGTTGTGATGGTAGTGAAGAATGTGACAATTTCTCTGCAGAACAAGACACAGGTTCTTGAGAAAAATAAATTATTTTTTCTCCCACTGAGGAGTGGAATCCTTCAGTATCCTTTTCGAATACTTTTGACATATAAGGAAATCCTTTGTGAAAGTCAGGCTTAAATGAAGCTTCCGTCTTGCCATAAAGTCGTTCAATAGTTCTTCTTACATAGCCAGTATTATAATGTTTTTCAAGTACTGCTTCCTCCCCACTTTCATTGGTCAGGTCACTGGATGCTCTACAGTTATAATCACTCTCTTCACTATCTGGTCTGTAATCTGACCAGTCTGAAGTAGCAGGACTTTTTAAGCATTTTTTTAATTGAGAAGTGTCTGAACACATTTTATTCTCCAGTTCTTCTACTTGCAATTTCTGTTCTCCTTCACTCATGTCACAGTCTGTAATTTGCTTTGATTCATAACGAAATGATAATGGAGAGACTGTAGATAACCTCTCAGAGGTTTCCTCAGAAGTTTCTGCATCTTCCTTGTGGTCTGGTACAGAATAATCCTCATTATTGTACCCTACAGAAGTTTCAGCAGACAGTTGGTTATCTGGGGTTTTGTCATCACCTGGTGACTTTGGATCAACATCCTCATCTTCACTTTTATCAGTAGTAATATTCATAATATCTTTTTCCCCTTCTAACTCTGAAGTATCCTGATCTAAAATAAAATTTTTATCATTAGAAGTCACACTATGAACTGTCGAGCCAGGTTCTACTGAAGTTTCTGACTCTTCATTAGTGAATGATGTATCAGCGGGTTTATCTTGATTTTTTTCATACAGGCTATCAGGCATTTCTTCATTTCTTTCAGGAGGCTCTATATCTGATGCGAGGCTACAGGTATTTGAATTATTATTGGCATATTGACCAACAGTCAAGTCTAAAGTGTCTGTTTCTCTACAAAGATCCTTCTGGGTATCAAACCTGCTTTCTAATTCACCAGTTAATTTTAGAGCCTCTTCAGAATGGACACTGTTACCTTGTTGCCAAGGTTCGACTGATTCTTCCTGTTCATGCAAATGTATACCACTATCCATTTCAGATATGGGTATATTCTCATGGCAATGTGTAGAGTCCTGTTTTTCGAGTTCCCTCTTAAAGTCTAATAACTTATTTTCTGTTGATTGTTGAAAATGTGACAAGAAAGTCTTCAGCTCATCAGCTTTTTCTAGGATTGTAGTTTGTTTCAGATGTTGTAAGTGTGTAAAGATTTCAGAACAGCTACAGGCAGTTTTTTCCATATCATCTTTGACTGGACCAGTCAAACTCTCTCTCAGATTCAGTAGAAGTAGCCAGGCTAAGAGGACATTGGAGGAAGAACCAAAATCTGAAGGAGAAAGATCTAAAAGGCTGCAAGATTTTCCTATACATCCACTATGTTCTTTCTGGAGACCAAGCAGAGTTGATTGTAGTTCATGCAGCAACATGCTAGACATGCAGTTATTATGAATATCAATTCCAATTTTCTCATTAACAATTGTGCAATCAACTTGAACAGCAACTTCAGATTTTTTCATTTGACATAGATTGGTATCTTGACATAGGTTGGTATCTTGACATAGGCTGGTATCTTCAATATCAGCTTCTGCCATCTTTTTGTCATCATCATGTGTTTCATTAAACAAGTGTAGCTTAGCATCCTGATAACATTCTGACTTTAGCGAATACTTTGCTTCTTCTACTATAGTTGTATTAGCATGAATCAAAGAGTCAGTTTGGTTTTCACCTGAATCCTTGGCTGATTCTTCTGAAGTTCTCAATTCACCAATAGGTTTTAATGGTTTCTTTGCTAGATTATGTTCAATCAGATGGTTTTTTCCAGTCACATGCACTTTATTTGTGGTAAATCTCATTTCTTTATCTGTAGAAGCATCAGTATTTTCTTTAAGAAAACAACTGATGTTGTTATTCTCTACAGTTCCTTTTTTCTTTATAGGGGGTAAGACAGAATTTGATAATGAGTTTTTCAGCCAATTTTGGACATAGTTTTCAAGTGACTGTTCAGCAGTCTCCTCTTGAAAACCCTTCTGGTTTAGAGCCTCTAGTGTAATGGCACTGCCTGACATATTTGACTTATTTGCACCTTTACTTAGATTTTTCTTCATTGCCTTTTGTTTTTTCTCTTTCTTTGATGACAAATTTTCCAAATTGTTCTTTTCCTTTTCTTTTTCAAAGCTAAAATTCTTTGACACTTCTGACAATTGCTTTGAAGTTGCTGATGAGTTAGGTGTCTGTTCAAAAGAACTGGTTATAAGTTGTCTGCCTTCTTTCTCAGTGCTCAGTGTCTCCTGGCTGTGTTCAGATTCATTGTTTGAATCAGCTGTCATTAGACCATCTTCACTCTTTGCAGATGAAACGATACTACTTTTTTTAGCTGACTTTAATTTTACCTTGGCCAACTTCTTGTTATTACTTCTTTTTTTTTTATTAGATGATGATCCATTTTGTTCCACTGAATCCTGGTGATAGAACTCATCTTCATGGCATATGCTTTTGTCTGAATTGATAGACCCTTTATTGTTATTTACAAAAAATCCTGGTCCTTTTTCCTGAGGCATTTCAGAATTATTATGCCCAGCCTCTGTTGTGGAGTCCTGTGTGCTTTTTCTGGTGATATGCATTCCCTCCTTTTTAATTGTCCCTGAAATTTCTTGATCTTTTTGATTTTCACATGGACCTTGCTCTAGAATGCTAGACGATTTTCTCTTCTTCTTCTTTTTGGTGAGGGATGGTGCAGATTGGCTGTTATCAATGATCTGTGTCATCATCACAGATTCAGTCCTGACACTGATTTGATGATCACTTTCAGTAACAGTAGGAGTAGGAAAGAATCCAGTTGTTGAATTTATTTTCTCAGTAGGAGCTTTACTACCATGAGATACCAGCATCTTCATCTGGCTATGTCCAGGACAGGCTGAATGCTCTGGATCTTGAGAAACAGGTAATAAATCAGCAGCTTTACATTTTATTTCTTCTTTTGACTGACATAATTCTGAATATGTAATGAAAGAACTCAGTGATCTTTTAATTTGTTTAATATCACATGAGGATGTGGTCTTTTGAACCTGGCCTAGATGCCTGGTCAAGTTTTGATGATGGTACGGAACTACTGATGTTAGTTCTGGAGGTTGATACTAAACTATTATATTCACCTTGTTCTACAACTGATTTCTCCAATATATTCTGTACCAATTCACCCTCATCAGACACTTCCAATGTCTTCCTATTTGTGGTTTCTATTAAATCACTACTTTTGTGGCTTACTTTAAAAAGCATTTCTTCTTTTACATTCTCTGTAGAAAGCTTAAATAAACCATTTCCACTTATCTCACTAAACTTTGGATTAGTGACACTTGATTTTTTTCTGCTTGAATGAGCTACCATGCAATACTCAGATGTTTTTTCTCCATTGTCTATTTCCTCGCTGTAGGAAAACTGTCCTATTGTCTTCTCTTGAACTTCTTTCTCAGATACCAAGGTCACACTTTCAACTACTGCTTTCTTTTGTCTAACACGCCTTGGCCCAGGGGTGGGAGGCCTATAAAAACGAGGCCTGATATTTTCCTCAGGTACATTTCTTAAGTCCAAATCTGCAGAATTGTTCTTCTCAGAGACATTACAATCAGCAGTTTTTAAATCAGACTCTGATTCTTTGTCTGACACTTCTGCATTGGATTGCTGTAATGAGATTTCGTCTTCTTTGTTGTAGCTCTTCAAAAATGGAGCATCTTTTGGGTTTACACATTCTGATTCATTTATATTGGATAAGCAGTCTTCCACATTCACTGCAGAATTGCAAATGGAAATATTTTTGTCATCAGGAAGGCCAGCACGACTTACAGTGGTTGTCCATTTAATGGTCTCTTCCTCTTTAATTTTGAATCGAACTTTCATTTCCACTGTGATACTGCCATCTTGATTAAGGTGAACAGATTTCTCAATGTCATCTTGATACTGTGCCACAGATAAGTCTTCACCAATAACTGACTGATTTCCCTCCATACCATTATGACTGTCAAGAGCATAGGAAGAATCTGAGTTGCTATCGTTTGAGTTGTTATCATTGCTGGATACTTTATCAGAAGAAACTGAGAATACCTGAGATCTTGAGCTGGAGCCCATTTCAGCTGTCACTACCAATAATTACATTGAAAAAATATAAGTTCATTCAGTAGGTGGAAATCAGAGCAGACAGGATCCAGATGATGAGACAGCAGACAGGCAACAAAGGAAGAGAAAAGAAGAAAGGAGAAAAATTAGTACCAAAGAAGCTAATGAAGTGTGTTTATTTTACAGACTTTATTTATTAAGTTGTATTAGAAAGTACAGAGAAAAACATGGCTAATCTTGCAGTTCATTTAAGAAGTTCTTAGAGAGAGAAATAAAATTAATTTTTATAAAGAATTATCATTTTATTATTTTTCCATTAATTTTATTTTTCAGTTGGTTCATTCTAGTGCCAAAACCGTAGTCTTCTTTGAAGCCCCAAAGCCTAAAAACAGCTAGATGATCTCATTTTATACTTAGCTGGGAGCTGAGGTTGCCTTGAGCCGTTCAAGGGATTCACAGGCTCTCACTTGTTTGGCCTCCAAGCTACCAGTTCTACTTCCTCTTCATGCTTTAGCGATCATTAATATATCATTTCCTATTAGCTCTTACAGTTAGTGCTAAAACACGTCAGTCAAGGTGAACATATATCTCCTTAGGCTTAATCTAACAATTCACAGCTGCTGAGTAACTACACTATGTAGTGTAGTGTCACTGGCATGTGGCTAAAGGGTTCAGATCCAATTCCATGGACTGGCTTTCTATAAAGGAGTGAACACTGAATTCTTTGAACTCCTTATAAAATCTGAATTTAAATCACCACATTCTGAAACACATTTATGCATCAGTACTGTAGACAATGGTGCAAAACTCAGCAAAACCAATGAGAATACTTCCAGACTTCAGTGCATTTTGAGTATGGCCCAAAATGTGTTTGTATACACATTATCTGTTTCCACAATATGTTTTGATTATTCCACAATAACCTGGGATTTAAATAAAAATTATATCTCATCTCTTTCTAGTGGCTGTTGCTGAAGAGATGAGAGCTAAAAGAACATGAGATAAAGTTTTGCTGTCTTACAAGATGCTCTGCACATGCAAGGTGGAGGTACACCCACACAAAGGTATCCACAACTGCCACTGATACCTAAATGCATATGAACCACCATTTCATAGACAGGTTTCACTTGCAGAAAAGCAATTTAACATGTGTTATATTAACTTATCTACATTGCCTGAACTTAAAACTTTTGTTTGTTTGTTTATTTAACCTGTCTCATGTCAAGACTTTCACAGCAACTTTCTATTATAGATACGTGTCTATATTTCAGGCAAAGCACCTTGCAAGTTTCTCAGGCATATGCTTTACCATGAACTGCATCCAAAATAAAAGTTCGTACTGACTCCTCCAACACAGACCAGAACTTTACTTTGCTTCTCAAAGTAAAACTCTCACCTTCTTTATCTCAGGAAATGAAATTGGAACAAAGTACTTAAAATTTGATTTTCCATGCTTTCATATCATCAGTGATGTCTCCTACACAAGATAATTTTGAAGTTCCCAGGTTAAAGACAAAAAGAAGGTTGTTTTTTCCTCCCTCTATCTGTGATTGCTGTTAACTAAGGATTAGAAGAGGTAGTTTATCAGATTCTCAGCAACTCACATTTTCTACCATTGCAAGGCTCAGTCCATGTCTCAAAGCAAAATTTGGGTAGGATTTTTTGTTCATGCAGAACTTTGATTATCAAAATGTTCTTATTCTCTCTCTCTTGACTTATTATGTTCTGCAAACAAGTCTCAAGCTGTGCAAGTCAAAGCATATGAATGCTGAAAAAAACTAAATTTAATAGTTTGGTAGGGACATAATAACCTGCAAGGAATATGAAAGAAAATCCTTCAAGTAAATGGAAATCAAGTGTCTTATGTATCAATGTGCCCCACAACACTCTCAAGGCTACTGTGGAAAGTCTCAGTGCAGTAACAATTAAAGTGCTCCCTGGGTTCTCCAATACAGCATGAAGCTGTATCAAGAGTACAACATACCTCTGGATTAATCAAATTTCCAACTAAACAGTATCTCAGCCCCACAGGATGCTCTAATGCCAAAATTCCCAAATAACCTAAAGTTCCGGTACCACAGCATTTTGTTTCCCTTAGCCTCAGGCTATTCATCTAGCCTGGCTTGTCTCCAACAGCTCTTCATGTTCTTGACCATCCACTAGTCACTTCATACTCTTACTGACCTTATCAGTGGCACAACTCTGCGAATAATCAAAGGGAAAGTACATATTTGTGCATCTTTTCCCAAACACATCCAAAACAACATATATCAAAGCAATTAGGATATAGGAACAGATGACACTGTTCAGAAAAAAAGCATCTTCCAAAACACGATGACTTTGTGAGTGGATGGATGCTATGCTGGTTTTTCTGTTATGTGGCGCATGGGACAAGGGAAGATGTGTGAGTCATGACAAGCTAAACCTCCAGTTGTTAAGTTCTGAAAACTGAACAAAAGTTTTGTTCAAGAAATTCATTCAGTTAAGAGACTGAGTAGCCTGTGGTTTCTCTCCTACCACTGTCATTATTAACTGTGACACCAAAAAATTAATAACAATGACAATCAAGAGCATTAAGATATACTTATAGATTTGCATCCATGTTCTAAGCAAGGCTGTTTGAAAGAAAATATGCATACTAGCTGAGTACTTAGCAGAAACTTACATTTTAATAAGAACATTAACACTTTGATCTTTCTTAAACTTACAGAGGAGTCACAGCAGATATAAACAGATATAAACAGATATAAACTGGCCTTTCTGAATATCCTGGATCTGAGTAAGATTGTCACTGTTTATGTCTTATGCTGAGAGAGATAAACAAATTAATAAAATACAAATTAATTCAAAGAACTTACTCTTTTCACTTTCTGACTTGGCATTTGCTTTTGGGTACACACGATTTCCAATTCCAAGCAATCTAGCAGGCCGCAAATACCCAAGAGAATCGTAATTGCTTGGTTTAAAAGGCTCTCTCCCTGCTGCGACTACAGCTCCAGAGCACAATATCAGGGCCTGAAGATTAGGAACCTGGAAAAAAAAAGTACCATTAAATTCTTTGCCTTAGCAACCACAAAAAAATAATGTAAGAGATTTATCCCTTTCATGCTTTAATTTCTTCACTTCTTAGCCTCTACATTCATTTGCAGCAGGCTATTAAGTATGCATCACAGCATGGAACTAATTTTGCAATTCCTATAAGGCAATTCCTATTTCTGTGAGGGTGTATCTTGTTATATAAAGATATTGTAAAATGACTTCAAGAAGCAACTTGGATCCAGATCAAAATTTTCTTACAATTTAAGTGTTTGCACATGTAACGTTGTTTCACTGTTGCACAGTGACTGTTCATATCCATGAAATACGAACATGCATTTGGAGATACGTATACATATGAAGACATATTTGGAGGAAAAATTCAGAATACACCACAAGCAGTTGACCCATACTTCCACAGAGGAATAGGACACAATCACAGAACAAAAATAGTAGTTTAACCCTCTACTCAAAGCAGGTCTGACTAGATCAAGGTACTCAGAGCTTTGTCTAACAGTTTTGAATTTATGTTCCAAAATATATTGCAAGATAATGCTTACAAACTGTGCTTCACTAACTTGTAGGTAATATGGACAGTTTTCCAACCTAATACAGAATTACACCAAATGGAGGGTAAACAGGAGATTTCCCTTGAACTCTGGGAGCTCTGCATGGAATTCTCTTTCTAGATACCCTCTAAGTATAATCATAAGTGTTTTTCTGTGGCCAAACAACACACCAAAAAAACCCACTAAATCAGATAAAATTCTATATAACAGCATAGAAAACGAAAATCTGGATTATTAGTGCTGCATCGTTTGAGTTTAAAAGTACAGAACCTGATCCATTGTTGGAAAACTATAATAGGCAATTAGGTGTCAGAGTTCCAAGACATTAACAGCAAATCGCTCTGCATTTGTGCAACAATAAAAGTATGTATGGCTATTAACTGCTACTTATCATGCTTTTAGAAACATTCAAATTCACAGATAAACAGCACTAAGACTAAAGTTTCTGTGTAATTGGGCAAAAGCATAGACTTGAGAGCATGCCTGAAAGAGGCCTAAGAGAAATAAAAGTGGTTTTTCTTCTAGCCTAAAATAAAATGTCCTCACTTGTTTTTCTATGATCACAAGATTCCAGTATATTTCCACTTGTAACCCTTCTGAATGGGGCAAAGGACATAGAAAGGAAACAGATGAAATTCAGCACACCAGGCCTGTGTTCCAAGCTTGTAATGAATAAAATCACCTTTATAACTTGAAATAATCTAGCAGCAGACATAGAAAAATTGTCAGGACTTGTCTTTATTCTCACCTTTCTGCCATCAGTGGTATACAGTTTCACAACTGGATATTGCATTAACTCGCTCATATAATCCAGAAAAGCCTCAAATGTTTGTGTATTTTTCTTTCCCAAAACTATGGTGCGTCTAAGTCTTACATCCCCATTTTTGAAAACAAGCATCTTTTTGGGAGTTGTTACTTTGCTTTCTCGATGTCCAAATCCATCTTCATTGCCCCTTGCTAATTGCACAGCTCGACGACGAGCGCTGACAGGCCTGCTGATCTGCCAGGGCAGTGGCTTTTTGCTAGCCTGTTCCAGGTTGATGGGCTTCATTTTCCTCTGATGGGAGCAAATATAAGATTTTCCATCTTCAAGATCCTCCAGATTGGTGATACTGTGTCTTCCTTTTGGTGTACTAATATTCCTAACTCCAAAAGGTAATGGGACCCGTTTAGATAAACTATCCAGCAAGGCATCAAATGTTTTGTAAGACCGGCTATTAACAACCATTTTGATCCCATTAAACTGGGGATCTCCACTTTTATAGAAACAGATCCGTTTTGCCACAACAGGTTCGGTAACATTGAAATGGCGTGTGGATAGACTCTGTTCACTCTCGGAGGAGTTTGGCTGATTCACTGAGTAACTTGTTGAAGGTGTTTCACTCATTTTGACAGCAATCTGTAACAAAGAGGAGATGGATGTAAAACTTTTCCTATGACTAGTAATAATAAGAACTTCATTTTGAAAGG